GTGCAGAATTTAAACATTATACAGGTCCTACATAAAGTAGAAAAATAGATCCATGAGGAGAGGGTCATGTCAACCACACACATTATAATCAATGCATATGCAGAAATTCTGACTGGGAACACTGTTGAAAATGTAGTACTTTTGCTAATAGAGATGGCAGATTTATTTAGGCCTCTTAAAATAAATTCATGTAAAATGTAGATGATCTATGATGGGTAACTGTAGTAGGCATTTGAACATAGACTCAATATATATCAGGAACAAATATCCAGCCTGATGACAAAGTAGTTTGGATGATGACAGTCAGAATTAGTCCCAGGCTGAAAATCAGAGCCTTTGGAAAACAGTTTCAACAGAAGCTTAAGTGATGCAGTTACTCTGTAAAACCAATGCCAATCTCTGCTAGGTTTACTAGCTTTTATGTCCAACAATTTGTCAGAAAAAAAGCAACACTGTAGAATTTAGTTGAATATATAAGCAAAAAAAAGGCAATGATTATGTTTACGTTTTCATTTGTGCAAATGTAGGGAAAAAGACATTTTTCCTTCCACAAAGCCCTGAACACACAACCAAACCAGACTACGACCATCACTCAATCAGAAAGTCTCAACTGCAACCAAATACCATAACTGTGTGAAACCAGTTACTACAATAACAAATGACCACGGTACACTATAGAACGTGAAGAGGAGCAATGGTTAAATGATAAAAAAAGGAAAATAAAGAGAAATCTTCTAAACTCAAAAAACCCGACCAAATACTGCCATATTCATCATCTCAGCAATTGTTTATTCTGGCTGACTAGAGGAAAATAAATTAGAATTGATGAAATAGTAAAGGAAACTGGATCCAGAAATCATTGTTAGACATTCACTAGTCTGACTATCCATGTTGGCTACTGGCGAAACTGTCTGAGCTGAGGCAGAGGAAAGGTGAGACACACTGACAATGGCCACTTCGCTCAATAAAGAAGGGCATAAAATCAATCTGCACAAAGGTCCAGAGAAATGTGTTTAGAAAGAGAGAGAGAACACTGAAAGGACCAGGGATGGAGAGGAGGAAAGCAACTGAGGATGAGGAGCAGGGACAGAGGGAGAGCGGGAACAGACCGTCTCAGCATCTGTGATTTGTAGTGTTGGGAGCAGAAATGTGATGAGTTTGTAGCAGAAAACAGCAGATAATTTTCGGCTTCTCGCCTCGGGCACTTGGACTCCACTCAGTATTGAAGAGGGGGATGCACGCTAATCAGATTAGTTTGTTTCTGCACTTGTAAGAGGAGACAGTCGGCAGTGTCCCATATTTGTTGGCTGCCAATGGAAAACAAGCTTTCACCTCTCGTCTATTTGGTGGCGTTTCGGCCCACTTAAAGCCCACCAGCCTGTTCCCACTAAAACTACCATACTAGCAGGGTAAAGGCTTGGGATTTTTCTACATTACCCCATCAGACTTAAGAAGAAACTTCATACTGTTGGAACTTTTCAGGCATTCACAGTTTTTTAACCTTACATCCACATAAATACAATCAAACCTGTTGAATTACTGTTATTATAGGAAAAGCCTCTAACAGCAAACACAGCAGATGACAAATAACAAGTTAGGCCAAACACAAACCTGAAGAAAAAGAGATTTCTTCAGGAAACACTACCCAGACAGTGCATGGCTACACAGGCACTACAGGAAAGCACTCAGTACATCAAACACACCTTTTAAACCCATCAGTGCCAAACTCAGGACGTCATAAAAGCCAGACGTTTCCCTCACCACTGACACACATTTAACTATTAGAGCACATCAGCAGCAAAGACAAGAATATCGGCGAGTATTTGGTTCATATATATATATATTTGACTCTTACGAGGACGCTGTTTGCCCGCTGATCAGCATGTCGACAGCAATCCTATCTCCTCCCTGAGTGTCTGCTCATTACGGTCGAAAACAAACAACCTGCAGTGGAAAAACAAACAAATTATTTTTGGCAAGCTAATTGAAAACAATTTGATAAATGAAGTACAATTTTTTTGTCATAATTTGGACAAACCTCGAAATTGACCTCATATTTCCCCGTTTTGCCCTGAAAGTGTAATAATTCTGAATGTTTGGACTTTAATTAGGAAGACGACTTCCACCTGGCGTGGGTTCGTGCAGGCTGCAGTACCGTTTCTGACCGCTACCGATAAATAACATGATGCTACTTTTAAAATCCAGAGGGGCGCTGTTTCACACATTTAATTTAAAAGAACGACGCTTTGAAATGAATTATCTTTTATTAAGATCAAAGCAAATATCAGAAGAAATTTCTTTTTCTGTTCAACTACTTAATAACTATAACATTCAAACATTATGTTTCACACTACAATATGTGAATACCATACAATTAATTAACACTAAGAACAGAATAAAAACAATATCTCATGATCTTGATTGTCTGCAAGAGACTAAATCAAACCACTTACTTTCCGAATACATAAGACCACTGAGCTACAGCTTCCCTTATATGTTCACAGTTTAGTAAACAGCAAGTGGAAAAACAGTAAACTAGTTAGATGGTATAAAAATTTAAGAAATCAGCAGTGAGAAAAAAAAAATGCATGTGCATTAACTATTGTTCACCAGACGCCTTCATCCCCTCAACCATCTGCAAACTCATGTCTTTAAGGTTTAGATTGTACTGAATTGTATTTGATTGTATTGTGCTTCAGGACATTGACGAGAGTGACAAAGACATGATGAGAAAAGAGGACAGATGGAATAAAGTTTCTGCACAATTTCCCTCATTTAGACTCGATGCAGAGGCTGAAGGTGAATGAAAATGTGAAGGAAGAAGCAGAGATGGGAGAAGAGGGAGCCAACAAGGAGCTTGTCACCTTTTCAGTTGGTCAATGAAAATAAGAAATGGCTAAATTATGAAAGCATTCCTCTTTTAATACGGGTGTGTGCCCCCATCTGTGCTGGGAGGGTTTGTCTTCACCTTAAAGGCCAGACTCTAATAATGAGAATGCTCTTTGTTTGAACTAAAGAGTAGCCTAAAAAAGAATGTATACTGAGTCCTAAACAATCAGGAGCAAATAACAGCAATTTCACAGCTAATTCATGGATTTCACGTGTGGATGCCTCCGTCGGCTCCCTCCATTTAATTCTGTGAATAGAGACGTGGGCTGACGGGTGGAGGTCGAGGGCCTAATGACTTAAGCCTAGTTTGAGCGTTAGACTTTTTAGGCCCAGACATGTGAGATGAAAAAGAAGCAGGTATTTATCAAACTACTTTACTGGGATTTGGTTGTGTGATGTTGAACTGTTGAATTGCCATCTTCATTGTGTTTTTGGAAAACATTAATGCCTTGTGTACCACACCAAAGGTTACTCGTGGAACTTTGATGGTGAACCATTGAAGGCTGATTTGTGGTAAAACACCGTTTGACTTTCATCATAAAGTGGCTTTTTCTCCACAATTTTATAATTCTGCAGTTGTGAAAAAAAAATCTGAACAATGACAGACAGGAAGGGGTCTCCACTTGAGACTGCTGATATTGTCCCCAGTTGGTAACAAGGGTCACAACAGGTTTACTTATTTAGGAAAACTAAGTATATTTCCAGGTTTCAGTATTGGAAAAATGATATCAGGCAGTGGACCACATTTTTAAACACAGTTGCCCTCCTAATTTAGTCTAATAACTTCATGGGGCCTCCATTATTCACCTGGCAACTGACTTCTGGATTTTAACAAGGATTAACGACATGAGAGAACACTTGTTAATAAACAAGCACTGCACAAGCAGACAGATTTGTTACCCCTAGACAGCCAGCCGTTTCCGCCTATTCGCTGTCTTTGTGCTAATTTAAATCAGCCGCCTGGTTTAACTTTCAGCAAGAGAGCATATAATCATGTTCCTAAAAATGTTCAACTTTTTCTTTAACCCTCAATTCACATTCAAATGGGACTTTCTGTAAGTGCATGCCAATTTAAGGGATTACCGACTATTGAAATCTTATATTTTTAAGTCACCTGTTGCTGTAGCTAATTGCAGCTTCAGAAAGATAAGTCAGGCTCTGCAGAGCGACACTGAATATGAGGGAGTTTCATCCAGATATTTCTGCCAGTCCCATTACTTTTCATAGGCACCTGCGAAAAGTACTTAGTATTTTCATATGCCGGGGCGGTGTAAATTCATCATTCATCATTAGCACACTTAAATGTGTTTCAAGCACTCTCACCTCAAGCAGTTTAACATGAGCATACAAAGGTGATGAAGTGGTTGGAAAGCATTTTGGATACACCTTAAATCATGACGCCCACATTTCTATATTTTCTAGAATTTGCACTGAGTAAAGCGGCATGATAATGAATTGCAAGGTACTTTTTCTTGGAGTTTTAGCTGTGATAGTGTTGATGACTTTAGGTCGTTCTGCTCTCATATTAAAGGACGGCTGAATGAGTGATTAAATTTAAACTTTTATTTTGCGCTGTTCCTCTTCCTCAGATTTCACCTCTGACAGCCTTGGCCTAGATATATTTTTTCTATCCTCATCAGACACTCTCGCAGGTCTCATCTGCTGCCAGCTGTGGAGGAGAGGACGGGGAGATCAGTGCAGATGAGAAGTGAAAAGGATGACGGGAAACCAATCGATCCAAAACCTCCATCCTAATCTTGTTGATATCCTCACAGCAGCCCTGAAGCAACTTCGAGGAACATTTGAAATATATTGAAATACAACCATCTCCCCCAAGCCTTGTCCTAAACTGTCATTTTCAGCAGAGATGGTTGTTTAGTTTGCAACAACACATTCAGGCAGAATTTTGGTAAACGCAAAATCTCCACCTTTAAATTGTATTTATTCAGCTTCATGTGTTGGAGCTCCTTCGGTGCATTTGATTGTCAACTCAGAACTGAAGCCTCAAAATGCCCTGACACATCAGAAATACTCTACTGATCTCTTCTGGATGGAATTGATAGTGCAGTCACAAAGCTAAAAATCAGTAGAGACAAAAAAAACATTCCACCTTCTTCTTTTCCACTTCGGCCTTTATTTTCAAGCAAATGTACAATTGTTTGCCATCAATAACTAAAGAAAGATTGGCAAAAATCCACAAGTAAATCTTGATATGACTGTTAAAAACGTATACAAAAAGACACCAAAAACTGTACATGAATTAAAATAACTAAATTTTTATATTGTTCTCACACACACACATATACATTCACACACATATACATTCACACACACACACACACACACACATAAATATATATAGTTTCTGAGAGTGTACGGAGATTTATAGATACAGATTTGTGGTTACAAGTCATATAGATCGCTGTACATTAACACATTGCAAAAGTCAAACAACGACATTCTGTTTGAAGGCTGTCAGTTTGGAAAGGAAAGTGTGGAATAGATCAGAACAGACGGGACAAGAGTGAGTGGTACATTGGGACCTTATAATGCACCATGACTGGCTTTGAATATTTCTACAGCAAAGTGTCGATCCGTACATGAGAGTGTTCAGTGCAGGGGTGTGTCTGAACATCAGCTAACACCTCAGAAATCTCTTTTACACGTAAAGCGATGCATACGACTGTACAGAAACACATGTCCAGTGTTGGTTTCCTCACAATTTAGTAGGGCTGCTCAAATCCCCCTACATATAAATAAGACACACATAAACATTAAATACTGTCTTCAAAATGTAAAAAAAGCTGTAACAAAGGATCACAGAGTCTCTAATGTACACACAAAGAGCACTACAGGATCTGCCTCTGCTAATCTATTCATTAACTTTAGTCAGGCCAAATGCACAACGGCAATCATAATTTTTCAAGCTTTGTCCTGACATGACAGCTTGAAACCCTTACACTAAAGTCAGATGGAAATACTAGGTCGAACACATGAACAGGGATGATTTTTACAGAAAAGAACATTTTTACCTTTTGTTGGTTTTTTGTAAAATCCCAAATCAAGCTCTGAGAAAGAATTCTTCAGTGTGATGGATGACATCTGGTAGTAGCACATTTGTCATAATCACACTTATAACAGGCAAAGCCTTATTGCAGCGGAATGATAAAGATCTTATAGAGCGAAACAGTGAGCAAACTGTTGCACATATGTGCACAGATTCAGTGCCTGTAAGAATAAAAATATCAAACATTATGTTGCATTTGAGCTCTCACAAGTTTTGTTTTGACAATCAAGTGTAGAAACCTCGCTTGGATTAAGAAAGTTTCAAATTAAAATTTAAAGTTTAAAAATGTAAAAGAATGCCAAAAAGCTTCACTTTGATTTGAAGTGTCCAATGAAACAATATGCAGAAACTCCTGGGAAAATCTGAAAAAAATACATTGAAAGTGTGAAAAAATGTTAAAACAAATATTTTTTGCTGTTCATTTGAATCAACGGCTAAAGAGGTTTCCCAAAAATATAATCTGTGACCGATACCTTTGTGGACACACAGTGTTAAAAAATCTGGAATAAAAACAATAAACTGAAACCATTCAGGTGATGATTCATTTGTTCGTTGATTGTGAGTTGCTCATTCAGACTTTTTTTGTCCTGGCAGCAGAACTGTCACAAATACTAGTTTTTACATTCTCCGTTTCAAATATCCATTATCTGCTAAGCTTTGTCCCATCCAAGCACCCACCAAGAGTCAAAAGTTCACTATAAAGCAAGCACGAACAAGTTCACAGGTATATATTTCACAAACTAGCACAAGGCACCTAATGTAAAGCAGCTAAAAGTATCTCTACCGTAGCAGCGACAAGGCTTTGGTTCATAGAAAAAAATTCCTGTTCACACAACAGATGAAAGGATGGATTTGCACAGAAATGTAGAAGATGCAGGAGGGGATGACGATGATGACGAGAAGACAGGTGGAGACCAGAGACGCAGAGGTAGGAAACTTTCCACATGGCCTCAGCAGAGGGAGAAAGACAGAAACAGAGACAGACAGCTAGGAGGGAAGAAAGAGGACAAGTGTTGAAACAGGGAAGTGAGACTTGAGGCTGCACTGTGACGGCCTTCAGCCAGCGCAGAGGCAAATGATCAACAGACTTTTAGAGGTCGGGTGACCCCATATTCTGCCACTAAGTGGAAACAATCAGCTGTGTGAGAGGATCTGACATCACGTCTTTGAAAATGCATCCTTTTTTCATTGAAATGTACCAAGGTGCATATATTTTTGCTTCTAATATAGATTCTATTAGATTTACTGATCAATAACAGTTATTCTTACTCTCATGGCGAGGGGTGGTAATGCGTGCATAGGTACAGGACTTACATTATGCACGTGAAGTGCTTGTGCTTCCTGTTGTTTCAAACAAAAGAGTATTCCTTTGGAGTATTTACAAAGATTGGAAAGATTATGCTCCAGCTCCCTGCCCTATTTTGGTCCACTGCCCCCCCCCCCCAATTTTACAAACCCCACCCCCCCTTCCCAAAAAACAAATAGTTTGGGTGGCGAGAGGTCTGATCTGTGCTATAACCACTGTAACCTACAATTTCAAGCATTTTCATTACGTGATACTTCAGTTGTTGTTTTTTACAATCAGGTTTTTACACTTTTAGTGTATCCGACTGAAGGTTTCACCTGTCTTTTAGACAGAGGAAAAGCCAAACTTGCAGTCCTGACTTCATTGTTGCACTACAGTTGCTGTTTATTTTCTCATAGCTGAAATGAGTTTATCTTGTGGAGCTGTCTTTACTTAAGGCATCAAGTAGTTTGGGGCACTTTGAAGACATGATAATCCATTTGTGTGTTCAACACTTATATAAGTGCTCCAAGCATTACTTTTGGTTGACTTCAGGATGAACAAGACTTTCTATCTTCAGTCTTTTGATTGGTTAAATCTAACAGGTCGCATGCTGATTACATTAGCCCCAAATGTGTTGCCTATGAGGTTAGATCATCTGTTTCTTTGGTAAATAACTTCAGGGGGAAATAGTGATTATTATAAGGCGATATTAAGGCAAACAGCAGGAATTTGTGACATTTGTAAAGAGAAAAATCACTAAAACATTGATCAAAGTAATCCGAGAGGCAGAATACATTCTGCATAGATGAACACATCTATCCCACCAAACATACTACACTACCTATGGGTGAAAGGGAAGCGTGGAAGTGTTGGATATATGGCTAAAGCTGGCCTTTTGTTTCTTAAGGACATTACAAACAGTAACTGAAAACAGATCAAATGACCAACTGAGTTTTCCAACATTCAGGCTTCCCTCCTGAACTACTCCTTACAGTTTTGTAGGATCTGACCGCAGAGTCCTACGGAGAGTTTCTGGATAACAGGTTTGCACACAGGCAACACCAGTTAGTCCTATGAGGAGGCAGGTCAGACAGAGAGGAGAGAAAACAGAGATGATAGGAATTAAAAACATGGACATGTTCGGTCAGTGAGAGACTGAGATGAGCCGTCATCACCATCATCAGCATGTTTTCAGTTTCAACATCATGACCACTAGAAAACAAATCCTAACTAAAAAAAACTCTATCGCTGCCACTGCTGGCAGACGTGTAAAGGGCCTGTGCACACATTCTAACATGAAACCACAGCTCTCAAGTCTTTTTCTGTTTGTTGTGACATCAAACACGGAGCCCTTTGCAGGCCATGGTGGCAAGTGAGGCGTTGTGGAGGTCTTTACAGATGCATCCCACAGTGCTTCATGCCTCAGCACCGTTATCCCCTCAAATAACTGCCACGCTTTAGCGACGCAGTCTGAGCTCTGAGTCCTGCTCCGTAATGGAAGGTAACCAGTTCATTTTGAATAACTGTACGCTCCATTTCTGTGATTTACATCACAATATAAGCGGAGAAAACATCAAAAAGAAATAAGTTAGACTGAGGTTTCAGGCCCTGCTCCCATGTAAGCGTTTGCCTGCCTCAAGGGGCGGGACCCATCAGCAAATCGGAGGAGGGGGGTGAAGGTGCGGTAGTCTGGGGTTCTTTGCCAGCGTGTGAACATGATTTTCTTGTTATATGTTTCAGACCTTCGAGGGTTCAGTGGGTTCCTTTGGTTTTCAGAGCCTCGCCGGTGGCTGCTAGCCTTGGGTGGGGCGTGGAGAGATGCCAGGGGGGTGAACTCTGACAGCTGGCCCTTGTAGAGTTTGTCAGCATTCTGTGTGAGCGAAACAGGAAAATGAGAGATAAACATGGTTCCTGTGGAACGGAATTCAGAGAGCAGGTGGTGGTGACTCTGCTGTCCCAGCTGGCCAGAGTTACAGTTATGAACAAATAATTGGTCTTTTTGTTTGAGGTAAAGGTTTGTTTGTCCAACAGTGACCAAAAAAAGTCTACACAATCAGATTGTTCTGTTTGACTTATTTTAAATCTGGCCGGCAGTGACGTAAAGCCCCATCCACAGAGTTCACACAAAAACAATGCAACCCAAGCAGGTTGAACATATGCAAAACATGAGCACTGAACATGCATCAGCATCCAGTCCCAGCCATTTCCATGGCTGCTTCTGAAGCCATGGAAACGGGCCACTAGGTGACACCAAAGCTCCATGTTAGCAATCCCCCCCACCTGGCCGTTCCATTCAGACGTGACCAGGGGATCTTTGACTTTATCCATGTCACAGTCCACTTGTTAAGTCATTTCAACACCATAAAACCACACCCAGTAAAAACCATCATCACACAGCAGCGAGGTGTGTTACCGTTCTGAAGCCTGTCAGGCTTCTGTGACAGCTACTCCATCTATTAAGGAGTCAGAACTCTGGGAGGCCAGGGCCCTCTCAAACCTTTTCACATCCCTAACATGCTGTGGACACACACACACACACACACATTTGAAGACAAAGTACATCAAGTATCTTCCACATACTGGAAACATAAATAACAGTAATAATACAATAAAAAATAAATGACTGTGTGTAGTGTTTACATAAACAGGAAGGCCACAATTTGGCACACCGGCATGCACTCAGCCAGGGAAGCAACTTCATGCAACCTAACATAAAGGATGCAACAAGGGAAAATACATAGAGAGATTCTGTACAACGAGACAGGAGGACAGGCAGAGGGTCACCTCCAGGAGGGCTGGATTAGAAACTGATTCTGCTGGAGGTCTGAGACAGCATAAAGATGGTGGAAGGCTCAGACGCAAGGCACCGACGCTTATTCTGCCGCGGAGGAGAACCACAGGTGGGAGGAAGGAGGGAGAGGAGGAGGAACAGGAGGAGGTGGGACAAGGAGGCCAAAGAATGAACAAGGACAGGGAAGAGTTAAAGCCGCTGTTCAGATTTTTTTAAATGTCACATGAAGTTCTTAAGACGATGAAATCAGAGTTTTTGAGACTTTTGACAGGTTGACGTGTATCTGAGGACAAAATGGGCCACATGGTTTGAAAATAGAGCTCCCGGCTGTCGGGAGGTGAAAGTTATCATGTTGATTATAAAAAAGGAGCTATGGACAGAAAGATGATATTCAGTTTGGACCTTCAGAAAAGAGACGTCAAACCTCACTGCACACATCAGATCAAACATAGTTTCCTGAAATGAAATGTTCCTGAGTAGCAAAGTTTTTACATCTGATTCATCCTTTAACTTCCAGCAGAAAATGCTAAAACCCAACCAGACTCAATTTTCACTTTGGCTTACTGAACTAGTTTAGCTTTGCATGAGGTTATTAAATGTGATGATTAGTGTTGTCAGTGGTGTTTTCATCAGTTGAATAAATGGAGCTTATGGCACTTGATTTGAAAGCTTTTTCACACAGATTGTTTATTCTATTCTCTTCATTCTTCTCCTTGTTTAAGAATTAAGTCAGTTTTACCAACTCTGGAAATTAGGCTTTCAAAATCATCTATATGTTGTGTCTTTTTCTTCAGAATTTTCAGAGCATTTATCCATAGCTACTCATGAATAAATAATGTCTTTACGAGCGCATCACTGTTTTTCGTAGGCACAGCAGCCACTTCTGCTTCTGAAGCGGAGAGACACACAATTCTGATTCCCTCATTAATAAAACATTTGGAGTGTTAGATAAGTACAATTAATATTTGTAGAATCTGGGCTAAAGGATCACTGCACACAGAGGCTTACTGACTTACATCCAACAAAGCAGGAACATATCCAAACCCAGCTTGCATCTGCTGACCATAACCATCATTTAAACATGTCAGGTCATCACAGTTTGAGCATACTGTGGAAATATTGAGTAAACACAGTAGTTTGGGCTGCTTATTTGCATTTGATACCAATTTAATACCAGTAATTATTCTACATATCCTCTGTAAATGGATATCTGGCATTTACAAGGTTTATAAACAAGTTATTACTATAAAACATATTTTTACTAAAAACAAAGCCTTTTTTAAACCTTTGTGCAATTCAGGAAAAAATGACTCAGTTTCTGGGTTTGTAATGCACCCACCTGTATGCGTTCAGTAGTGGTGGGCCACAGCGTCCTCCAGATTACCTTCTTCACCACATCTGGCAGCAGACTGGCTGTTATCAGAAGGATTATACTCAGCCACGCTGGACCGCTGGACAACATCTGCATGAACACGTAGTACATCCTCTGGTAGTTGAGGAAAGGCCTGGATAACAGGGTGGGAGGAAGGAAAACTTTTTTAAATGTTCCAAATGTGAAAATCCATCTGACATTTAATTGAAATGAGAAGATATAGCTAGATCATACCAAATAATTCCTCCCCACAGCAGGGAGAAGACCACGAAGAACACCAGGGAGCCCCAGATGACAAAGTGGTTGATCCACGTCCAGTAATGAGTATCTAAAGCCAACTGAGGGACAAACATGAGAGCAGTACAATGTTAAATTGCTGTTGTTTTTTCTGACAACAGACTTAAACCAGCCTCATTTAGGTGACCATTTGGGTTCCGTTACTATGAAGGCTACAGGTGTGTGTCTGGATCTGGTTACCTTGAATGTAACAGTGAAGACTAGTACAGTGAAGACAAGTGTTCCAAATGTCCAGTTTCCAAACATCTGAAGGGGAGAAACAGCTGGTGTAAATTTTGACTTAAATTACTTTAGGAGACATAAATTGGCTCAATCAGCACATTGTAAATAGATGCTTCATGTCACACAGTAAGGTGAGCTGACCTGTACAGATTCCGTAAATGTTAAGCATTTGTGTCTTTAAATGAAAATAATGTTTGATGTTGCATACACCTTTAAAACAGACACTGACATGCCTCTTGGGTGAAGCAAGCTTCATTCAGCTCGTTTGTGATAGCTTAAAGCCACCCATCTGAAGCTGTTACAACAAACTTTCAATGAGGAATCAATCAATCAAACAGATGGAGGGTGCGCAGTCCGAGACGTGCAGCTGAAGAGCAGATTTTCAGATGACGGATGGATGGAAAACAGCTAAAATGAAGGCTCTTTAAATCTTTAAACACAATAATTAATTCATTAAATAATTGCAAGACAACTTGTGCTACACTTTCACTGTAAAAACCTGTAAATCACATCACACAGATGTTAACATGTCTTTCAAATAAATACCACACAATTTACTTGTTAGTGAATGAAGATTTTAACAGCAGCACTTTTCTATGATTCAAATGTTCATCAGATAACCACCAACCCCCATATGAATGGCCCAGAGAGCCACGAACCCCTAACAGGATATAACTTTGATCATATGTGTACTAAAAAATTAAATAATAATTTATCTAAAGAAAGTATTCTTTAGATAGTAAAGATTTAGAAAGTATTGACTCTTTGTCAGCTCATTCAAAACACGTCTTGCCTTAATTAAATCTGCCACAGTTTCAAAGGAAACAAAGTTTTTAAAAAAATCAAACTTAAGACTGAGCAGAGCTTAAAAGAGATCCTCTAATTACTACTGCTCAACAGCACCAGATTTATGTTAGTTTAAAAGTGATATCTATGTACAACCACCGTGGCTGCATCCATACAAAGACTTCATGTTCTGAGGAGACGCCACATAACTGACTATATCACCTTACCTAAAACCAGCATCATCAGTTGTAGGACAATTGGATTTGAGAGACAGCTAAATGTCTCAAATGTCATGTAACGGAGGCAGGAGCACTTTTTTCTGTGGCAACTCCTTCACTGCTTTTACATGAGATCAATCACACAATCAGCTACACACAAACGAAGCACACACAGGTCAACAGCATGGACACAGCAAGAGGAGAGTCACTACACAAAAGCCTACAGCTGATGTGGCTACATGAGATGGAGGTGATTGGCTGTTTGCATCAGCGTGTGTGATGGGGACAGGAAACTGGAGAGTGAAACTAGGGGAGAGGACAGAGACAGGGACAGGCTTACCATCTGTGTGTTGGTTGTCATTAGCTGGGAGGAGGAAAGAGAAGCAAAAAGAAAAAGCAACACAAAGGTAAGAGGATAAGAAGAAAAACAGAATATGAAAAGAAGAAAAATCAATAAACAAATAAACAGCTTAGTTGTTGAATGGGAAGATAACTCAAATTTGATGGGGGGAAAAATAACAAAAATTGGGAAATAAAAATGAGAAACCAAGCAACTCAAAGCTCCAATTAAAGACCAAAGCAAATGGATAAGAACACAGAGAAAGATGGTGGAAAACTTGCCCTGCTGTGGTGCTTTAAGTGTGAGTGGAGCAACATAATCAGCCTATTTAAACACATGTCTGTTATTCACTACAGCTGCTGCTGTGAGCTGGACTCATCCTCCTGAGCAGGATGCACAACAAGGCAATAATACCGACCATATCCTGTTTGGTTTTCAGCTTTAACTGACAGATCACGTGAGACACAGAATAGTTATCATCATTATTTCCATTGTTTTTCCCCTGCAAAATGTCACAGCAGTGGTTCTGTTATAGTTCAGTGAATTTCCCTTTCCCCCACACTTTCCAGCAAAGCTTTGAAGTTAACCTGTGAAATGACTTTGGAGCTCTATCAGGTCTCAGCACAACAGCAGAACCAGCTTTACCCAAGTTCAGAACACCAAAGCCCAGAACTGAACGAATCTGCACTAATCCATTATTAGTTCCATGTATAAAGAAACAAGTGTGACCATAAAGATGAAAGCTAAATTAATACTGAATCAAAAACATTCTCCAAAACATCAGAAAAAGGAAGATGAAAAGCAGCAAATGAATGTGCTTTGCAGAAACCTTCAGCAGAAAAATGCAGCCCGGAGTTGGAGTTAACAAAAATGTCCCACTGGGTTGCAAACTGAGTGGTGTAGACTTGTAAATATTCATATTAAAGAAGTGTCCGTAAATGAACTGAAGCGTAACTAAGTGTTACCTGTCCGTTGCTGGTGAAGGTGGTGTTATCAAACAGGAAGTAAGCACCAAAGAACATCACGATGGCGTCGTACACACCCAGGACGGTCCAATAAATGAAGATGGGCCACCGCAGCAAAGAGTTCTTGGCAATATCTCTGTCAAAATTATCACAAGAACTGTGAGTGACTGGTGACTAAAGAACCTTTTTGAGAGGAAGAATCAATAAACCAGCCGAGCACACGGTGAGCTTTAAGCCTTTTGAGGTCTGATAATACTGTTTATTACATTCGGTTCACATTAAGACGAGTGCTGTCTGCTTCCTGTGAGACACGTGGTTCATTATTAGCTACTGCAGATTTCATCACCAAAACATCCAGAACATGTGTCCTCCTAAATATGTCATGAGACTGTTTCCACAAAAAAAATGGGAACATTAGGGACTTTGATGGAGCACAAGAGAGGCAGTAATGACCTCCAGTCACCAGTCCTATCTCTGAAAACTCTATGTATCTAACCAAATGGGGATACAGACACTACCTGTAGAGAGAAGGATCCTTCTTCAGGATGTCCATATTAATGTGCTGCTCCATGAGACTGTAGAGCAGGATGGGCAGCGAGGTGAAGCTGATGTTGTACAGAGTTAGGTAGGCGGTGTCGTACAGTGGCTGGCGTTCAGGATAGAAAGATGTGTTAGTCTTTTTTATTTGCTTAGATTTTCTCATTTGTTCTGCTGGTTGGCCTGTGCCTGCCTACCTGCTGCGAGAAACCACAGAAGAACTGGTAGAGGAATTGGGGAAAGATGAAACAGACATTCTGGAAATAAAAAGAGAACTGATGAGAGGAAGCTCACAGAGATTAGGGAAGTCTGTTTTCATAAAGATGACTGAAAACCAAACATAGAGAATAAGGCTTTTAAATCTTTGAATGAGCCTTTTAAAAGCAAAAAGTAAATACTGAAATGAAAGAAATGCTTGTGTCGCACTGCAGATGGTGAGCATGCCGGATACCTTGTAGAAGAAGTATTGCACAAGTTCAGAGATGCGGATGTAGTAATAATGTCCATGGACGAGAAGCATCTTTTTGAGGTGTTTGAATTTTGGGATGGCATAATCACTGTTTCTCACTGCCTGACGGCCCTCCTTACCCATAATGCCTGGTCGGGGAACACAACGATCACAAGTCATATGTTGCTTTTCACTGATTCATCTTTGCTGCAGGGAATTAAACATGAACAAAAGCTTCCAAAAGAGGACGCTTAGTGTACGTCTTTAACATCTGCCCTACATTTCCAAAAGATAGGGATGATAAATACTGACCAATACCAACGTGGGCTTCAAGAATCATGCTGACATCATTTGCACCATCTCCAATGGCCAGTGTGATGGGGTGCTCTTTGGAGGCTTTGATCATCTTGACTATCTGTAAATACAAAATTGCAACTCATATGAATCACGCGGCTCTTTTGAGCCACTTCATAAATCTGAAAAACCGTTATGGCTTCATGATGAAAACCTAGTGTTAAAACCAGAAGCAGTCCATCTGCCTGCTGTCTATCTTGAAAAGATTTCGGCGTACTTAAAGGAAACACAGGCTGACGGTAGCAATCTCCCTACCTGTGCTTTCTGAAGTGGTGCCATTCGACAGCAGAGAACCGCGCTACAGTTGCGGCAGATTTCAAGGAAGATCTCTTTGTAATTCCCCGAATTTGAGTCCTCCTGATCAGGCCTCATCACAGCAGAGAGGGTGGCTCCGTCAATTATCAGGCCGTAGTCAGTGCAATCGCCTGATAAACTAGACAAACAGATCTCCTTATAATAATATTATCATTCTCCGTTCCACACTTTCTTTAACAAATGATTTCTAAATCTGCTACTTGTTTTTAGCTGAGCTCCAGTGGGTTTCATCTGCACCCATCACCAACCCGTACCTAGATGAGGTGTCTCGGGTCATGCCTCCATACTGCCTGAAGACGGTCCTGCTCAGGTCGAACAGCACATCGTGGAGGCTTTGCTCCTCTGTGCGTTTGGTGGTCAGCTCCAGGATCTGGGTATTGCGGCGAAACAGCTTGCTGGCGTAGCAGGTTGCAGCTGCAGTCTCCATCTTATCTCCGGTGAGCACCCACACCTTCATGCCAGCTTTGTGGAGGGACTCGATGGTGTCAGCTGCTTTTTCCTGCAGCCTATTGTGGAGGGAAAATGGAGGGGGGAGGGTCAGTTTAGTTGAGCAAAATACATCTCTTCCTATTTGTCTTTCTTTTGATTTGGCAATTACAGAAACATGCACGGTAATTGATCCAAGGCTTGGGTCAATTTTTCTTTGTGTAAAATAACTTGCAATGCCCTCTGCGGTAACAACTTCTTTAAAGCCTGCTCTGTAATTGCCTCAGGGGCATGTGTGCCGTCAGGGGGATGGACTGCTCCTCGCCTCAAATCCAGGGCAGCATTTTTCATGGCTGCGACACACACAGAACTTCTGCTCAGAGTGGCTCCGGGTGCAGAGATGTCAATATTTATATGCAAAAAAGTGCAAGCACCCGTTTTTGGGGGGAATTCAGTACTTTTCAGAACATTTCTGCAAGTGCAGCGCAAATGAAGGGCTTAAACATCAGAATGATACCACCATGTGATGTAAAGTTTGGCTACATCTGTACTGAGAAAAAGTTGGGTAAGAATATGTCACACATTTCCTTTACTCTAGAACCTTTACCTGTCCTCTACAGCAGTGGCTCCTAGCAGTATGAGGTCTTTCTCAATGAGGTCGTAAGCCTCGGCCAGCCGTTTATCCCGGTCCTGTAGAGCTAACTTGGCCGCATTGAGCAGATGGCAGATCTGCTGGTACTGTTCGGAGCTCAGGGGTCGATAAGCCACACAAAGTGTCCTCAGTCCCTCCTGCAAGAGGGCAGATATTAACTAGGATTAATTCAACTGTGTGATTCATCAAAATATAATTCACAGAAAAGAAAAGAAATGGTTCAGTGACAGATTATAACCAAGGTGCACAGTGTTGCCAGCTGCCAGTTGTCTTTGAACCTCACCAGTAAAACACCCACCACATTTGTTTTTCCTGTTTCTTCTGAAAGCTACAATTTGTTGGTGGTTGAAACTACAGGTCAGGTCCCACTGACTTGGTTTTCACTGCGGGCTCCCTTCACTTCAGCAACCCCCCCACACATAAACTCTAACAGAAGCTTTCAGTTCTGCACTTTGCTTTTGCAACGACCTGTTTTATTAAACGCATGAGCATGTAAGCTGCAAAAGGTTCAACATTTCCCAAAAGATTTATTTGTAATCAAATCTGGGGCACATGAGATAAAAGTTAATGCAAATGCAAGAAAATGGCAAACTCCTGGGAAATATTTTGCCTATTAAAAACAACTCAGTCCTCTTTGGAAAACATTTTGAGCAGGTGTTTAATAGAGGTGGGCTCCCCTGCTAGATTTCCTATGGTATCCATGGAGACTGTGATCATGTTATGTCACTGTGGGAACCATTGAAATCGTTTTGCCTTTGAAACCTAAAAATGCTCCAAGTGAACAAGACCTCCCACTATGCTCCAGATCTATCAGAAAAGGAAGTCTGTGTCAGTGTGTGCTCTCACCACTGCGTTGTGCTCCACCCGAGCTCTGACCTGCTCCATCTTGCCTGAGATAACTCTTGGGAAAATAGAGGAGTCGGCGCCTTTACAGAACAGATACAGCTCTCCTACTCACACGCACACATACAAACATTCTGTTAATGACAAAGACAGGCATAAAAAAGCCTAAAGTGCAGGTCAGCATGCGTTACCAGTGCTGGCCCTGACGATGACGCTCATCCTTCGTCTGACTGAGTCAAAGGTCAAGACTTCCAGCAGCTCAAACCTGAGAAATAAAAATTTAAAAAATCATACATATCATATTGTTGCGCCTTCCCCGACATCTTACACAAAATTCTGAAATCTAACTTGATTAAGTTGACCATGGTAGGGTCTAAGAGAATGATCTCTGAAATCTCTCAGAGATAAACATAATCTGCAAATTCTGACTGTTTATTTGTGCTTCCACTGAGCTGCTAAGACAGCCTGCTTCATTTTCCAGGACTGCTTTAAACTGAAACACTGAACAATGGAAGTATGGCGACAGTATAAAAAAGGACATTTTATTTGTTTACTTTTTCAAAAGACATTAAAGAGAATTTTCTCGAATTGTGACGCACTCACCTCTCTACCTCATCCTCTCTATTCAAGATCTCCATCTGGCCGTCCTTTTGTCTCAGATAGGTGAAACCCAGCCTGCAGCACAGAGCATTGATAATGCAGCTGATGAGTTGGATTTGTGAGGAAAAAAAAGGAACGACATTCAAAAGTTCTGAGTGTGTGCGCCACCTCTTCATTCCCTCCACCAGAGCCACCTCGTCTGGAGATGAGGAGATGTAAAAGGAGGTGGACTTGCCATGGTGGATGCCATGCTTGATCCCATCCACCGTCTCCTCCTCTTTCACCTGCACTGTGTGGCACAAACACAGCGCACGGAAAAACAGCTCCTCGTGCTCCTGTGGTGGGCGACCGACAACATGTTACCCCCACCCAAACACAAACCCACAGGACAAAGGAACCGTCAGCCAGCTCACCCTGGCTCCAGGTCCAGGGGACGTGTCGATCATGTCCATGCCGGTAGCACCAGGCATCACCTGTAAGAGGTCAGTAAATGCCCGTTTCTGCTCATAGAAGAGTTGTTGCATTGCTGTGATTTTGGGTAATGATATTTTGGAATTAACACATTACATGCAAGCGTGATTATTCCCAACACCCACTGCAGATGAAAAAAGTGGCTTTTTATTAATAAAATTCTTTCTCAAGGTACTGCGTGACGTCAGCCACAAGAATTTGAATTCCTCACTTGAATCCGAGTAGCACTGATAACACACCACTTCTTTATTTGAGAGTTTATTCAATCTCATTATTTCATGAGGTTTCAGTTCAAATGCAGTGTGTGAAAACATTTCCCTGAGCAGAACTGAAAAGTAAAAAATGCATTTGTGGGATGATGGGAATCCCATTAAGAGCGAGAATCCCAGCCGTCATGACGTTACCTGTCCATTACAGATGGCATGCGGAACATAAACGTGTCCGTCCACGCAGCACTCAATGAACTCCATATTGTTCTCGGTCAACGTCCCGGTCTTGTCTGTAAACACATACTCCACCTAGAAAAGTTACAAAGTTTGCATTTTGAGAAAAATGTTTTAAGACACATTTCTCACTAAATCTGCTGAATAAAGTAATGTTTGCATCTGAAAGTGTCTGAAGAACGAGGTCCACTTTGCTACCTGACCCAGCTCCTCATTCAGGTCCGATGTGTTCACCACGGCTCTCTCCCCCAATTCATCATCAAACATCTCATCGTCCCACATGATGAAGTAGGAGCCCAGAAACTTCTGCATCTCCACCGTGACGTACATGGAGACGGGAATGATGTAGTTGAAAAGAACCATGAAGGCCAAGAAGTCTGTGAATGCCCTGATGAGCTAAAGAGAAGGAGGAGAAGATTTGAGAGAAGGTCAAAGTGACCAATGGATAAAATGAAGGTACTCACAATGTGTCTCTGTCTCTCAGCTTCTGTCCTCTCGTTGTAAAAGGGCTCGTCTCTGTTGGGGTCGGCCTGCCACACATATTTCAGGGCCGTGTTGATGACAGCTTTGCTGATAAGGATGCACAGGTAAACCACCAGGTAAGCATTCATGGACCTGCAGGAAGAGACGGGAAGAGCACAGAAAGCAAAATCAATGTTGATGGTTTTTCAATGTGATCTGAATCGACTGAAACATAGGCCGCCTATTAAAGAAAAGCACATTGATCAAAGACCTGTCTGTTGCTTAATGGCCCATTTTTGTAAAACTATTTTTGATCTGTAGATAGAAACCAAAAAAGCATTCACATGATTCACATAGAAGTATTCCCAATATCTACAGTAAACAGTTTAGAAAGTTTAAAACACTACTTTTAAAAACATATTCTTAGATCAAAAGAGGACATGTGAAACGATACATTTACCTGCACTGCAGTCACTTCTAGTAAAAGGAAGACAAATTCAACTGAGCTAATCCTTCACACACAGTAACCAAGTGCAAATGTAATCCACCTACAGCCAGTCATTTCTACAAGCCATCTGGATGCAAGACTCTGTCAATGCCAGATGGACAGAAAATTGATTCAGTCAGTGCAACGAGCCACAGAGACCTGCGTCATAAAATGAAGATATGGGAAGCAAGCAGATGGATGGTAAAAAAAAGGGTTCAATTATCTAAACCAGAGTCAGAAATAAGAGTTCTGGAGCTTGATTGAATGGATCAGTACCAATAGGTTTTGTTTTGTTTTTTGGGGGGAGATTTTTAAAAAGAAAATAAAAAGTCAAAGAGCTTACTTTTCTACAGCCGATCGCTTCTGGGACTTGGACTGGTAGTTTAGAGCCATCTTGGTTTCCATGCCAGTGTAGATGGCAACAGCTGAAGGCAGAAAGAGAGTCATGTAATTTAAAATGGCTTTCAAAGTTCAATCCATCAAGCATCACCCTGATTTATGCATGTTAAAGCCAGCAGGTTTCTCTTAAACACACTTCAGCATATTAATAGTTAATTACCATAGATGTAATCTGTGTTCTTCAGTGTGGCTCCACGAAGCAGAACGTTCTCTGATCCCAGCGGCCTATGAGATGGTAACAGCACATTCAGGTTGTGTTATCAGTGCTAGCACAAACCAGACATGTTAAACTCATAATCTAAACTACCACCAGAGAAGGATATGAGACCTTAAGTATAAATAATGTGCAAAAACTTGATGTCTTCCTCCCTAAAACAAAGATTCAGTCCCTCATGCATTACAGTAGTCACAATCAAATCGAGCATGTTCTTATTTACACATGTTTTTTAAAAGCACTCTCTGGCAGCTATTGTTCAGGGCAGTGTTTCCCAATCCTGAACCTTAAAGCACACTTCCCTGTATGTTTTCCATGTGGCCCTGCTCCAACACATCTGGTTTAGATAAATAGGACACTTCTCCCGCTCATTAAGCTCTGCAGAAGGCTTGAATCAGGTGTTATTTGAGTCAGGTGTCCTGGAGCAGGCTTGTGAAACACTGCTCTAAGTGACCATGAGTTTATATAATGTATGCTGGAGTTAGCAGCTCTGGCTAGTGCTAAAGTTGTCCAATAGTCAGGAGGCTGGTGTTTGAATCCCAGCTTCTCAGGTTTTAACAGACAGACGTTTGCTAGACTGAATTATCACCATCTTATCTTGGTTTTAGGTTACCTGGCCACCGGCTCATTGTCCATGTAGACGTTAATACGGCCTACAAATCTGTGTGGGGAGAAAAAGAAAGAAAGTGAGATAAGGCATGTTTTCACATGGTAAAAAAGTGTTGCTGAAGTCTGTGTGAACATTAGATGTGTGAGCTGCACTGACTTGTACAGGTCAGGTTGTGGCTGTTCACATTCTATGGTGGCGTGGATGGAGTCGACCTCCGTCTCTGTGTTGTAGGCTTTGGTATCCTGAACTGCATAATATGTCTTCATTGGAAGGAGAATAAAATAGCAGAAAAACATTTTTTTAAAATAATATGTACAAATGACCCCTGATATAAAGTTTAAAAACCTGATTCATTGGATTATTTGAACCAACTTTGTGGCTGCTCTCTCCATCCAGGCTGGCCGTGGTAACATAACACGTTCCGTCATCTCGAGATGTGGAAAGAAGGATGAGATCGCATGGAAAAGTCTCGTCTTCTTTCACGAAGACCACATCTCCGACCTGAGACCGACAGGAGAGATATCCTGATCTTACTGGGTCTTGAGTAAGCCTAGATTTTCATTCCTATTCTTAGCATCATCCTAAAATGACTTAAAAACTCCCTTCATGAAAAGGAAGCGGCATAAAATTGTTCGACATCCCTTTGACTTTCCAGTCGAGCCGCTGACACACACAAACTTCTGAGTCTGCAGAAGACAGCTGGTAACTTACCACATTATTCCCAGAACCGCTAATGCAGCCTGAGCTAATGCAGTTAGCCTAACAAGCTAACAATCAGCTTTATCTCCTGCAGACTTTTCAAGTTCAGCCAACAGCTGCAAGCACTCGTGCTCTCATAGAAAATTAAGATCCTCGCTATCTGTTCATTTAAATATATTTTCACTCTCATTTTGTTGCACAACATGCATTAACGTCACTGCTTCAAAACTAAATTGCTCTTAAATGTGGGCAAACACACACACACACACTCTCTGACAGACACACAGGCATAAACATAAAGAGCTTAAAGGGAGGAAAATCCCTCGGCACAAGCCAAAAAACAAATGCACTCAAGTTCATGTCAAGCGGGGTGAGGGTGATTCGGTCACACGTCCACGCACACTCACTCACACACACACACACAAACGCACTCTGAGCTTGCGACTTTGCTTGCGGACCACTTTCCCATGCTGCACCACATGGACGGGACACTGGTTAACAGCCTTGTCGGCTTTGTGTCTCAACCAGTCTTCGTAGCCCTGAAAGCGACACAGAGAGCAGACAGTAAGTGGAATGCAGTGTTTGACTGAAGTGGCCTTAATCAAAGCACCCACCAAAAAATGTGGTCTCACCTGTTTTATTGCGGTGACGGTGATGACGAAGAACAGCGGCAGCCCACTGGTGACTGGACTTGTGGGAGTGTCGATCATTAACTGTGGTCACAGACCATGAACAATAGAAATGAGTGATGAGGACTGATTTATGACACCAGAAAAAATTGAGACACACAGCTATAAAGACACAGGAGGGTGATAATACAGCACCTCTCTCCTCTGTGGAGAGAAACTGACTGATTCTCACTCGGAATAATAGATTATAATCGAAGGATCACCATGCAGAAAATGAATGAAAATAAGAAAATTCTCACTTCTTAAAGACCTGAGAAAGCATCTGGAACAGGTAAAACAAATCTGATATTTTTTACACAGAAACACATATGAAACTTATGAACAATCAGTCTTTACTATAAGAAAGTCATCCACGTGCACTGCCGTGGTCTACAGACGATGACAATCGGAGAAAACAGAAATCTGTCACCTGAACCAGAAATATGATGAGGAAGTAGAAGTTGGCTACTCTTCTGAACTGCTCAAACATATTCTTGGGGATGAAGTTCCAAAATGTGTACTGGAAACACAGTAAAGTCAATGAGAGTATTTAGTTGTATGTCTTTTGAAGCTGTCTGTGTTCAGTCACATTAGTTTTGTATCTATGTGGGAGTGTTGTACTGACCTTGGAGGAGACTATTCTGTTGTCAGGAAACCTTTGTTGTATAAAGGCCTCAGTTCCTGGAGGAGGTTCCTTATGTCCAATGTAAACTGTCCTGTTGTCTACCCAGTTCTCCTCACCAACACACTGCAGGGGGAAACACAAAACACAACACAAACCGAGTGTGAGCGTGCGCCCTCCGTGCACGTTGTTTGCATTTGTTTGTCATCTGAAGGTTTGCAGACTCGTGCATAAATATGAGAATGTTTGGGACGCACAGAAGAGAGATTTAGTTTCCTCTTGTTTCATTGAGTTTTCCTCAGTGAATGAGAGCTTTTGTTGCCACGGATACAAGCGCCAGCATGTGACTCTGGAATGTCGAACCCGTGCGGACGAATTCTGAACTGAGCTCTGAAACGTTCAATTTCATGTCCTGATGTGATATTGAATGAGATGAGGTAGTTCTGCCCATTGCAAACATCCATCCTCATTTTTAGATTTCATGTATAGGATGTAATTATATCTTACTAATATTTTTCATCTCTGTTGTTTCCAATATCTGGATGCAAAAAGACGCAGACGCAAGCTTTAACAAATGAAGGGAAGAGACGGTGTTGAAACCCAATCCAGTCAGACCTGAGAGACTGAAGCTCAAAGTATTTCAGGCAGGACTGGACCTGTTTGGGAGACACACTTAGATTTCTTGGATTTGGAAAACACACAGATACACTTCCACTCTATGCATCAATGGTCAAAGTTTGAAAAAGTACACCACCAGAAAAAAGCAGCTAGAAAAGCTCTGTGCACATCTTTGTCATACTTTTGGCACTCAGTGCTCACCGTAGTTTTCGGGCTGTCTAGTTACTTAGATTATTTTTATTCACATTTTTTAAAAGTGACACTGATTTCTTGAAGGACTTCATCTCTTGTGGAAACATCAGGGATTTTGCAAGTTGATGCAAAGCTCTATAATTTGAGCTAAAATCAGAGATAAACATCTGTGTTTTAACCTATTCTTTCTGAGCCGGCAGCACTTTGTAGAAGTTTCATCAGAATGTCTGACAAAAGTGGGGCGGGACATCGCGGTGGGAGGAGGGAAATACAGAATGGGGGCTTGTCTACTGCAGAAGAAGCAGAACTGAACACCATGACACCATTATATCACCTGTTTCCGTCAACACTTTTTTGCAGTTTCACTGCTTGGTGTTAGTTCTGGTTTGTTCTGAAAAGTGAAATGAAACTCATACAAACCCTACTGTACACAGCTGTAAACAAATACACACGGTGAGTTATTCAACTCATTACTAAGCAGTTTGTCCCCTAACACACCCACACACACGCACACACGAACAAACAGGCTAACAAGAAGTGACAGTGATCTGTTACCAGAAAATGAGGTTGCGTGTCAAGAAGCTCAAAGCATAGTTTACTTTCTCTCTCAGTGTCGTCCTGACACACACTCACCCGTTGACTTGATGTTCAATGATTCATTTGCTTGTGTTAAAAAGTTATTTCTATAATGTGACACCCAACTGTGTGTGGCAGGCCACAGGGATGATGGAAAGGGAAGAAAGGAAAACTGATGCATGAGTAAATATTGATGTCTTCCAGACATATGCTGCACGATGCAAACTCTGTGGCTCCCGTGCTCTCCTCTGAGCCGCCCTGAGAGCCATTACCGATGCTGAGTCTAAACTAATGCTGCAACAACAGCAGCTGACAGTCAGAGTTTTTACAGCCTGGTCCGGCCACGCTGCCTCTTCTGAAAAAAGGCTTCTGAAATAGGAAGATATCAAAACATATTTTCCATCGCTTAACCAACCCAACACACTGTTATCTGCTTGGCAGAGCTGGAGGAGAAGAAGACCGGGCAGGTGCCCGCTCCGTCTGCTCCCCCTCACACGTCTCCTCCACGTTTCCTCTAGGTCGTCTGCATATGGAAGGCAGCCACAGAGAGCAGCAGCTGTGGGCAGTTATTAATATGTGAAACGGCAGTTTCAACATGATATTATTAAAAGATCTGTATCTGTGCTCTGTCTCGTGGAGTTACTCACAAAACACACTATCGCTCTGCACTGAGTCACTTGTTTAACAATTCGTAGTAACTTAAGAGTCATTTATATGGATGCTTATCTCTTACATTTCCCAGAATTGTTGGTCTGCTTACATTGTGCAGCATTCAGACTGAGTTTGAGTCATTGTTGACCAGTGTGACAGTGAGTTTGAGCAACAATGGGCAGGTCTCCTTCCTCGCTGCTGCCTGCTTTTCCTTGCAGCGCAGCTTTATTGGTTTTCTCACCTCTCTCCTCTCCAGCTATCACCACAAACTGGCGGGCCTCAATGCCTACAATCTCCCTTCCATCGATTGTGTTTAGCTTTCATCCGGATTTGAGCTTTTTACACGAAAGCCTGTCTGGGTTTAATTGAATAATACAGCAAAATAAATAAAATAAAACCCACAGGATGGGCTCTGGCCTTTAGCCCTCTGAAGTAACCAGAGACTCCGGGCTATTCTGGACGGTGATAATAACTTTTAGCTGCGTTTCATGTTTCAGGACGTGACAGGTTTCAGGAATGTATTTATAGTTGGAAGGGAAACATTTGTGGTCAGGACAGAAGGATGGAGAGAGCTTTGTTTCTGTCTCCATCACTCAGCATCCACATACACTTTCCTTAGAGCCATGTCACTGGAAAGGAGAGGGAACTCTTTAGGGAACACACACACAGTACAACACACCCCCACAACACACATGAGGGCAAGCATGCATGAACAATAAAACACAATGCAACCCCTTCAATCACTAGTCCACCGGATAGGTTTAGGTAAGCTCTGTTTTTTTGGTTGTACTTAATGATGGTGACACAAAACCTGACACATCCGCTTCATGCGAATGTAAAATGACTTCAAACTAGTAAAAACGGAGTGTTCAAAGTCAATGAGTACAATCTATCAGGTAACAGAAGCCAATGTTGAAACACATAAACACATTTGGGAATATCTGATGCAGAGAGCCAATAAGAGTCCAAACACATTACTCTACTTTCAATGTAGGATTTCACTAGAAAGCAGCATCATACAGCCAGAAACCCGATGCCCCGCTGTGATCAGGAACTCATAGTAAACAGGAAGTGCTGGACCCACCCACCCACAGAGCGCACGTTTCCTGACTGCATCCACCCCCAGCTCCGCAGAACCAACACTGCCACTCTAATAAAAAGACTTCATCTCCGGTGAGCAGTGTTGGAGCTGTGGGGACAGCCGGGTCACTCACAGCACAGGAATGTCTGATTTTCACCACCAAGCCTCCAAAAGCTTTGAGGGCAGCCTGAGCAAAGCGGGCGTGCCTGTGTGCTATGGCGACCCGACTGATACGAGCAGTTAAAATGCAACGAAACAGCACTGACCAAACAGTTACCGTGGTAACACAGTAAAAAAGTAACCAGATTCCAACTTCAGCGTTTTCACAGATTCTTAGTAAACTGTGGGCTTTCATTCAGAGCTGTTTTTTTTGTTTTTTTTTTACAGAGAATTAAGACATTTTGTATGGTACTGTTTTTCAAGACAGTGTCCTAATCAGAACGAACAGGTTGATCCGTTTGATTTGGCTCAGGCTGCAGGTTACTGCAAAAGAAATGCGTCACAGCATGAACACCAAGTGGAGTGAGGCACGCACCTGACTGCATACTTTCATTATGAGGCGACTTTGTCAGGGGACGCTGGGGTTAAGGAATGAAAACGTTTGTTGAGAAAAGGGACAATCTGGAAAAGCTCTCAGCGTGCACATTCGGTCAACATTTCTGACATGTTTCACAGCCTGACAAAGAAAACACGGGGGATTTTGCTTGGAATGATACTTAACAACAACATCACCTGCGGTTCAGAGCCTGCAGTTTACAATAAAAAGTCTATTCAGGAACGTTTGACCAACCTGCCGGACCTGTGGCCTAATCAGACCAACTGTGCAGAGTTAATGCTGTAGGACACCTGGCCAGCAAAGATAACAGCTGCAGGACCCTGAGCATAATGAGGGAATCACAGAAAATCACAGCATCTTTTGTTTCTCTGTCGCTTTCGGGGCTGAAATGGTTGTCTTGAATGATGACCAGCTTCTCCTATCTCCCCCTGCAACATGCAGGACCGGAAAGCACCCACAATAAAAAGTCCAGACAGCAGCCTGCATCCTGCGATACACCTCAAGAACACACACTCATACTCATATGTCTCATTTGTGGCATTTACGTCCATTTGTCAGGATACATGTGCAAATACAATGCTTCCAAACAAATGTTTGCCATCTCTCTGCTGCCACTAAAACACAAGATGAGAGAAAGAAGTCTCACTTCTAAATCACCCAGAGTGTGTATCTGAACAGCTTAACCCCAATTCCAAAAGAGCTTTGGCTGATGTGTACAATGTAAATGATTTTGGGATTTGTGACAAAGGTGAGCTCGTCCTGAGCTTGAGGGCAGCAGGTTGGGATTGGGACAACACGGGGATGGGTAACTAAGGGGTGCTCAGAAGAGGACGATAGAGTTCATTAGGTTCATTAGTTACAAGTCAGTAGAATTCCTTAGTTAAGTTAAGAATAGGATGAAATTCAGCGATCTGCAAAGACGTGCTTCTTAAAGTCTAGAAACTCCAGTATAATGCTCCTCAACGTGAAATAAATTTAGAAAAAACACTCCTTTAAGGTTGCTTTTTAAATACATTCTTAAAGCCTTGATGTCAGGACAAAGAGGCTCTGAACATGTGCTCTCTTGCTTTTTTAAGCTGGTCGAAATTGAGTGGTATGTCAGCCAGTTCCCCCAGGAGGAAAAATGCTGAAATGTTTAAGTGCTGAGTGTAACTCTGTGCTGTATTTGTGGTTATTTGAATACCACATGTGTAAGTCAGGTAGAAAACTGTCTGTGACTGGTGATTTCTGTGTGTGGCAGACTGGGTGTGTATTTGTGTTTCCTGAGTCACAGATTAGAGGCCAGCTGTGGTGTCCATCTGTCTCATTCAGCATACCCACTCCTGGCCAAATAAGATAATAACACATCCCCATCACTCTCCTATAAACACCACTCTTCAGCCTTTTACCACGACACTGTCCTCCAACTGTTCAGGGGAAAGGCAAATGGAGAGAAAAGTGTTTAAATGCTCTGACGGAGACAGCGACTTTGCTGAAAAATCAACATCAACAACTAAAATGTGAGCCCCAAACAGATACAGGAAATGCATTCCAACAGGTTTAATCTCCATTCCAAAAAAGCAAATTTCAGTTGATGCTTACAGTCACTGTTTTTAATAACTGGAAAAGATTAAACCATATGTGTGTCTTTGAGGTTTAACGAATAATTCTGACCACCGGGTGACTTCGGGGACAGGCGAGCAGCGGCTCTTGGTGCTCGACGCAGCTTGATGGCTGCTCCTGTGTGACACGTTAAAATAAAGGGTCTGTGTGTGACACCAATCCGCTGACAAACTCCAAACAACAGCCAAAGAGTTCATAACCTACCGAAATAAAATGGAGAGGAGACGATGAAAATACTATTAGAGTAAAACCAAACCGCTCCACAAACTGTTTGCACATCTGCCCCAAAGGATTTTAGAGATCACACTGCGCTGGACCTTAGAGATTTGTCGGTCCAGCCCCCCCAACACACACACACTGATGCCCCCGTCACATGACAAAACTGCTGGTGTTCTTTGGAGTCAGTGGACTTTACGATCCAGCATTTGCACTGCTTGTGCATACTTGTGTGTGTTTGTGGGAAACAGCCACTCATTCCATCACAACTCTGTTCCTGCATGTTGTCGCACGTCTACTTGTCATTAATAGCTTAAAATACAGAAGAACGCCTCCATTTCTAGCACAACGACAACACCTCCTGTTCTCACAAATAACACCTACAATCAGTTTATCGGGCTTTCTATTCCTAAAAATCTGCTTTCAAACTAGATAACAAGCTTTATTCCCTCATCTGACTCACTGGACATCACTATTCTAACCCCCATCCTAATCGAATTCTCGCTGAAAAATGTTTAAACTTGAATCTTTTCTGATATATACATGCACAATAATAAGAGGAGACATATACTGGATGGAGTTTGAGGGGGAAAAATGGTTTTCAATCAAAGAGACCTCATTGGCGATCTGTTAACAAGTACGAACTTAAAACACATTTGATACTGTGAGAAATGAGGATTCAGAGGAAGGATAAACAGGAGGACAGGAAACTCTCAGGAGGTCATCCATCACCAGATGAAATGAGCTGAAATAGACATTCACCAGCTTCCATTACCTATGTGGGTCAGCAGCCTTCTCCACAGCTGTGTCTGAGATTGTGTGCAGCTTTGTTTGCTGTGTAACTTTGCTTTATTACCCAAATAGCAGTAATCATAAATTTTATATAATTATGTAACAGCATAATGGTCTCTTTAGCTTTTATGCGTCTCCTTTTTGAAGCATGAACATAGCTTTTTCTGATTTGAAAAATGTGGGATACTGACAAACATCATCTGGTTGTTGTGAGGTCGGCCTTTCTTGCTGCTTCACGCTTTCCCTCTGTGGTGAACTATGAAAGAGCTGAGAGGAAAGAGAGGGGGTAACCTGGATGCTTCAATCAGCTAAACAGAGAAACTCATTAGCCTGGTTTTTCACATGTGTTCCAGCCCTGGCCTCTCCTCTCTGATGAGCCAAAATGACAAATATTCAGTGCCCTTTATCTGGTCTACAAGCTGAGAAGTCTGTGGCAGAGTTAATGTTACACTCAATAATCCAGAGATGAGGCCTGAGGCATAGAGCTAACAGACAAAGCACTGTGCTTCTCTTCAGAGCTGGACAGAAGAGTATTGTTGTGGATTTCCTGTGGACAAGTACGGTCATTCTTTGCGTGAGGCAGGAATAAACTTACTGCTCAGACATGCTTCATTGTGTCTGGACTGTGTGTGTGAGAAGGCGGGACTGGAAGGCACTGGCACTGTGTCATGTGACCCTCCACATGACTTAACCCTGTGCTCTGCTCACATGAGCATGGATGCCAGGCGTGCTCAATAGCTGCAGCATGTCTGTGTCACGGCTTCTCAAGTTCTCTTTAACTTTGCTTTTTCTACTCAAATGGCAGCAGACAGATGTTCTCCTAAAGTTTAACTGTTTTTTCCCCAGCCGGTATAAAATGTGCTGCTTCTGTAAATGTGCCGTTAAGTAGTGCCATGTAAGCAAAGACGTCCCCCCCGTAGTTTAAAGTGCTGGTCTGCCATTAGGCCTCGGGGTCATCCAATGGTGGAGCACAGCCAATGAAGCAAGTGAGACCACAAAAAGCAATTTACTGCAACTGACAGCATTAAGGATGAGTAATGTTTTGGGAAACTAAAGCCTTACCTGGATCAGCCCCCTCGTTCTTTCTGGCCTCCATTTATCCTCTGTTACACAGTGGCCATGTTGTGAGACGCCTCACTCTGCCTGATTACTTAAATCTGACTGACCTTTTAATATCCCGTTGTCTCTCTTGGCTGCTTAACAGCTGAACCTACTTCTAAGTGGTCCATCCTCCCGGTTGATCTCTCTGGTCCAGGCTCAGGAGGGTTTATATCAGGCACATGGTGATCTACCAATAAGGACCTGAAATCAGATATCAGCTGAAAGACTATGCGGTATCAAACAATTTACGTAATCCCATGTTTTCGGGTTAAAACTCCTTTTACATAAAGAGACACTGACAAGCATGTTCAGCTGTTACCCTTAAAAGGACCAATTGTTGTTAAGAAGGAATAATAATTTAGTTTTGCAGAAATCTGAAGCTGAAATGCTTTCTGCTTTCTTTGTGTTTGTTTGCAAGTCTTCCTTGAGCAGATTTCTGTTCAGCTCAGAATGATGTCTTGTTTTTTAGGAGTCACACTTAAAGACCGTTTCCAGTTGTTGAGTCTGATTTTTTTCCTTTTTATCTCATCTAATCTGTATAATTCGGCTAATTGTGTCATTTCTATGCATGTCTGTGGGAGAGTGACGCGGTAGGATAAAGTGTGTGAGGGGGGCCTGGACGCACCACGTGTGCCTCATGAGACCGTCACCTGACTAGGACCGGCATCATGGGGGAGTGGACTTTCTGAGTTTTCAAAAGCTGAGGATGGGAACAAATGTGTAGCAGTGACCACCTGTGTCCTGATTGCACTGACCAGGAGCGTTCCTCCATGAGCAGCAGGTGAAAGACCAAACTGGCATCTTCACTTTGCTGCTTCTGTTGTCCGAACACCATCATGCCCGTCTGCTGAAAAGCCTGGAGGAGGTCCAGTCCCCTGAGCGGTGCCTCTCCATCACCACTAATGTGCCGTCACTCTGCAGATGCTCATGCCTTTGTGTGTTTACCGGCACGCCAATCGTTACATCTATTTCAAGCTTCAGAGGGGATTTACAGCAACAGGAGGCCAACCTAATGAAATATACATCAAACGATTAAGTGCTAACTTTTACTTTTGTGCTCTGCTGTGAGTGACGGTTGAAGGCAGCCTGATAAAAATGTAGGTGAAAGCAGAAAAAGGCTGTGGTCCAACAACATGATGCCCCGCCGCCCGCCTGATGCAATGTAAAAGCACCACGGGGCAGCGGATTTAGTGGTGGCCTCTCTGTTTCTGGTAATTACACTCAAATATTCATGTGGTGATTATTTATTCATGTTGAAATGCTACATGTGGAAACAATTCAGTCATCTGGGTTTTTACGTGAGAGAAGCTGCATTCAGAAATATGTCTCTAAGGCCACAGCTCCATTACTTTTCTTCTTTTGTCTGACTTTGAAAGTAGTCCTGAGCCCCACACTGCTTTACAACCCCTAAGCCAAGCCTATTTTCATTATATGTAACGTCACAATGTATTTATGCATGATTAAATACTGATGTCGAGTCAATGTGAGCCAGAGATGGAACCGTGTGAGTTTTGGTTCCAGAAGCTGTGATGTGTGAACCCAGTATTGTGTGGTTGCAGGCTGGGAGCCAGATGGTGAGACAGGATCATCTGCGTTATGGTGGACGCCAAAGTGCATTGATAATGTTATGGAAGAATCAATGCTGTGTGGAATCTGCTGGGCTGTTCGGCAGCTTTAACTTCATGCTGAGCTCTCGTATGCTACACATTTTACTGCTGTGAATCATCAGCCTTTCCAGGCCATAACGACACTTGTTTGAATTTTGTTACCTAGCAACAAATGCACCGTGATGGTTAGGCAACAGGCAACTTTACAGATCCTCAAACTAAACACCAGAGAAAACACACTGGATATTAGAATTGCTTTTAAAAAAACAACAAAAAGAGTATGTGAAAAGAGGTAGATGCTCCTGAGAAGGCACCACATTACCACACAGCCTCTGACATAGAGGATGGACAAATCTGATCATTATGCGGACACTTTAGTTCCATAACATGCAAAAACACATTATATGATAGACGTTTCCTCAGACTGTGAGCGAAACACACAGCATCTAAAGTGATCTTCAGCTTTTACAGTAGGAGCCTCTGAACCAAAGCCAGTCTAAATTAGAACCCCAGGGAAGTGGTCAAAAACCAATTCCGTGGTGTGCACAAACATGCTAAAGCAAAACTTCTCATCATTTAGAGCTGTTCCATGATGGTTACAACCCCCCCCCCCCCCAACACGCTTGGTGATGTTTGCCTGCAAATGCAAATGCAAAAAAACAGACAGAGGGAAATGGGAGCAGGAATGATGGCTAATGGAAAGGGCTGGGGGGGTAATGCCTCCACTGCACCATCAGCATTTGGAAACCAGGGTGCTATCATTCCCCCATATGGGGAGAACATTAAAGATACCTGCCTCCATCAGCACTTTTACAGGCAACAGTGATATTATGATGATCCAAGTTCAACATCTCTGCCTTTGAGCGGAGGCCTGTGTGCACCATTAACCCAGACACATCCATCATGTGGGGGCAACGACACTCAAGCACGCCGGTAATGGAGCCCACGCTCCCGTTCAGATGCTGTTTGGGTGCTCGGACGGGGAGCCGCACTGTTCAAAGACCCCCTGGTGTATAACACCTTGTATTCAACGCTGGTATTCTGAGTCTGCACAGACTGGGATTTCTGTCAGATCTGTGCAGTCTGATAAGCCATATCTTTGTTTCCTCCTTTCGAAGGGAAATCAAGCAGGTGACAGCAGCAAGCAGCCAGTCGAGTGGGGAGACAATCCAAACACAGCGTGGCTTAGTGAGAGTCTTAAATCCTTCAGATGTAGAGGCTAACCCGGCTGCACTCTGTGGGCTGTGGACAGAGTGGATGAGCAGGTGTTTAATGATTAGCGTGAGGCCAATAGGAAACCTGCTGATGCTGCCAGATAAGAGCATGCCGTAAGAACAACAGCACAGAAACAGGGCCGTCTGGCACAGCAGAAAACTACTTTGTGGACATATCTGGTCCACAATTCTTTGAGGCTTTCTTAGACCATAATCCTCTCCTCAGGGTTTGAGCAGCCTGCTTTAGGTGCTTTACTCACTTAGTTCAACATTAATTCAAAAGGGAAAATATGACTGAAGTCAATATTTGTACTTACAAATAAAAGAGAGGAAGAAGCTCCCCCCTGTGCTGGTCTGTCCTCAGATTAAGACGGAATTCTTTTATCCCACTTATCTTCATCTGTTTGAATGTTTAATTTGGAACCACAGGCCGCAGATGACACACAGTTAGTGTGTGATTAACATGTGATTAAAACACTCCCTCTTCCTGCCTTCAGGACAGCAGAAACACGTGTAAATGAAATGCTAACACACTCCCTTTTTGGATGGGGACTCTGGAATCCCGTCGAGCAGCCCGGGGAGTGCCTGCACCCCAGGGTGAACGCCCTGCTGCAGACGGCTCCACAAACAGCAGCCCCAACGCTGCGACAGTCTGCTATTGAATTATTGACGACTAGACAGAGCCAAGGAGTTCATGTGATCCGCTGCCCTCTGCATCACCTGGCCACTACTGTATTCCACCTTCCTGCTTACTAACACTCAGTATCAACTGTTTACACTGGGGGGTCTATTTGCCTGCTCGAAATGCTGTAATGATGCCTCATCCAATAATCAACAGGATTCATGGGAGTCTGCTAAATGAGGCAAATCATTCCAGTTTAAAAGAAAACAGGTGGGATATAAGTAGCAGGTTTGAGTGTATTGCTCTAAACTGGATTAACTGGCTCAAGGTATAGTGAACAACAGTAACCCTTTAATCCACTGTGAAGGCGGAAGCCAGAGAGAGAGAGACTTCCTGCCCAGGATCACTGCAGGAATGCCAAGTTACTGTCAGCCTCAGTCTGAGATTACTTTTCACTCAGCGTAATCACTGCACTTCAGAAGCAAATTCATATATTGCCTCTGAGACACAACCTTTGTTTTCTGGTTTTTGTCGACAACAAGACTGAATTCCTGTGCAAAAACTGCCGTTTTGCTTTCCTCCCGCTCAGGCATATCCTCAGGAATGAGGAGCTGCTGCCATGCTTCCCTCTCCTCACAGGTCCTTCCACAATCATCGGTTTACTCTGTGTCATGAGTATTCATAAACCCGCTCATATGATTGGTCAGCAGGATTCCTAACACAGATTCTTGTAGTGTTCTGTGGTTTTTATCAGGATTACATTAAATGAGATGAACCATTTGCTAAAGAAGCGATTCTACTCATCTGATATGTGTAATTACAAAGGCCACGGCAGACAGCATCAACGCAGAAGAAAGCCACTAGAAAGAGAGGCTGAGGACTATTTAAAGCACTTTGAAAGCTTTCCAAGCTTAACACTATCTCAAGAAAAGAACAAAAGAGGGCTGGTGCTCCAGCTGGGTAAATACAGTACGTTGGTTCAGAGCTCTCTGTGCTACTGTGAATACATTTTGTTCTCATTCAATCTGAACACAAGAGCCTCAAAAATGACAACTCTGCATGTTGGACTTTAAGGAGAGCTGTGGCCTTACATAACGTCCTCTGCCTTTTACCTAATCAGAGATGGCAGAAACTGAGGAGACCGGCTTCCCGGGCCACTCGATCCAGCGGGCACAGCAGTCAGTACAGTTCCAGGCACAGCTGCACCTGGCCACACATCTGGACCATCGCCCGTTTTGCAGCGTACATGCACGGGATCGAGTTGGTGGCTCAGGGAGAAGGTGGACACACCATTCTGCCAGATCTAAACCGCACTTCTATAAAGACAGATCATTTTTATTACAGTTTATATGATCGCCATAGTTCAAGCTCAGCTGCAGCTGTTTCAGTGTCTAACCTTAAAGTGTGTTACACATTTATTAAGCATCTGGGATTCATGCATAAAAAAATAATACAGATGATCTGACATTAAAGTACAGCATGAAACATTTACAATGCTTTTAACCTTTAATCTAAAGCTTGTGCAGAGCACCATCCATTTCAGTCTACTGGGCATATGGAAGCAGGACGGAGTCGATCCTCATTACCTTAAAGTGTTTTATCTTAAAGTGAAGTTCAGTTTTTATTTTGCTCTGACGAACACGTTCATGTGCCTTAAAAAACCAGCAGATACAAGGTAGTGTCAGACTAATGGGACCATTTCACCATGCACATCCCTCTCTTCACATTTCTGATGCATCTCTGCATTCACATTTGCAGCTGGATTAATAGCAGATGTGCTTGTTTAAACACTTTGACACATTTTCAGCTGTCTTTTTTCTTTAACACTGAAGCGTTCCAGAGTAAACCCAGTCAGATGGGTTTATTATCCTGCTGTTGTTGTAGCATAAAAATCTGTGATTCTAGTTGAATATTTCATCTGCAGCAGAGAGTGAATGAGGAAGTTCACATTGATGACACAAATACAACTGACATTTGGAAAGCCCCTAAAGATAGACTGACACTTTTTGAATAAGATAAGATAATATAAGATAAGAATAGATATATCCATATCATTCAGCTCCAGGTTATCCATTCACATCTCACTGAGAAGAGTTGAACTTTGATAAACCTTAGTTTTATTACACAGGGACATAACATGACATAAAATCTGGATGTCTTGATGTATTTTCTCCATTCAAAAGGAATCCCGCTTGCTGAACAGTCATGTTTATGTCAAACCGGTTAAATAAATGGCTGAGGGAACCAAATATTGACAAACTGGTCACATGCTACATATATTGCTCCCTTGAATCTCTATAATTACTGCAAATTCCCGGGACTACATGTGAGCTCTCTTTGAACTATAACGAATGCACATTGCATGGCTTTTAACCAAAGCCCGATTTGACAGTTTAACATGTTGTCTGAACAAAACTTAATGTCAGGCGTTGTGTTCCCAACATCTACTACTACTTTTAAAGTCCAGGACTTACTAAGCAATCAGTGTTTGTAATTCTTTCCGAAGCGTTCAAAAGTTTCTTTGCATTTGGATGTTTGAAGGAGCGTTATGATATTTTAAGCCTAACCTATTTCTAAGGACCAATTAGAGCAGGGTAACTGAGCATCTATCCGCATCCTATCAGTCACAGATTTGTCTCCTCAGTGCGTGGCTCCATTTCTCCCTCCCACAGCAGGGGTTTCATTTCACCATTCCTTTGCAACAGTTGGGAGGCTGTGTCTAAGCCTCGACATAGACCTAGTGGTTCTTGTGAGAGTGCGGCTCGGTCTGCCTGGATTATTGTCAAACACATTACCGCGCAGACTAATGCAGCCCTCACCCGTCCAGGCTGCCTACTCCGCTGCTGCCCATTGATCTGACTAGCAGGAAAAGAACAACTGGATTACATAATTCATGTGACTGCTCCATTTGTAGTCTGGTTCAGCCGGGGGAAAGAAGCGTGATAGATGGCGAGAGTGCCAGTGATAACTGCTGATCCTCTGTATCCCTCCCATGTTCTGCAGCCGGAACAGGACAGTTCCTCAACCTCCCACTTATTTAGCTGGAAATGAGCTCCTGACCCAGTTTTCTGGGCTGTATAGTAAAGTATTTCTTCCCTGATATCATACCACACAATGGTTGTGGAAGTATTTTCAAGCCTTGTCAATACATAAAATGAAAAAAGGTGTGAGGTTGTATTTCATAATGCAGCCTAAAAAACTTTACGGTGTGTAGTATGAGGGAGGAGAGACCCATTAGGACATAAAGCTCTAAGTTCCTGTCGGAAAAAACGGAGGTTTGCTGCGGATTTCTGCCTCAAACAGCTTTCTTACATTCCCTCCCGTGAGTGAAACTTAATCTGAGAGGAGCTGCCTCGACGGAATCTGAAACCAAATGTGATAAAAGTTCACACATTTTCTCCTCTCAAATGAAAATAACTTCAGTCTGGAATGGCCAGACGGACAGAATAAAGACAAGTAACAAGCTTACAGATGAAAAATAACATATCAAATGAGGTGAAACTCACATATCGGCTGATGAGGGTCCGAAGAGTGCTGCAATCCATCCCCATCCTGTTCCTCTTCCCTGTCCCGCACTTCTTGTTTCTCAGTCTCTCTTTAAAGCCTAACTCTCCTTTTTTGCGCTAGCTTCTTTTCATTTCTTTTCCCTTGTCCATGACTTTTCCCCCTCTCCTCTTACTAAACAAGAAAATCTTAGCCCGGCAAAGCTGCTCCCGGCGCCCCGGCGCGGCTCTACCTCCGGAGCCCGTAACAGGCTGTGTAGTTAACAGGGGGAGTGTCTTAGTGCCGCCCTGACTGCACTTTAACGCACCTCACACAGGCACCGACATGTGAGCTGCTCTTCCTCAAAGAGTTCCAGCGAACTAATGTCTGTCTCTCTCCCTCTCTCTCGTCCCACTGTCCCTGCACTAATAATCTTCTTGTCTCTCGCGGCGGCCAAAGGAGATTTTCTTTCACGTACGTCACACACAACCAGGTGGTGGCCCAGGCTGGAAGTGGGCGCATGCGCAATCGTGGGCTTTTTAAAACGTACTTGATTGCTTGTTTGAGTTAATTATAGATTAATTATAGATCTGTTTCCGTTGACGTAGGATATTGACGAACTACAAAATTGATGAAAACCTTCAGTAAATTCAATTAAATATCAGGTGTAAGAGTTTGTGAAATGAAAATTTCATGAGAACATTCATGTATCAGTTTGTGACCGACTTGTTGAATAATTGTCAGGTTAAGGTGCCCTGACAACCCAAAGGTGCTGTCCACATTGAAGGTGCTGAAACCAAGTCAGTTGGGAACAAAAGCTCAGAAATTAGATCATAACAGACGCAAAGACGACTATTTTCTTTCCTTTTCATTATTGGTAACACAATTTATGCATAATTGTACATAATTTTAACAAAAACAATTAAAAATGAGAAAGGAAATCTGACAGAAGTTTTAAATTGGTTTTAAAGTTGTTATCATATAAATGTCTGAGCAATTTTAGCAGAAATTTAAATAAATAAATTATCATCAGTCCGCTTGGGAAATTAAACCAATTAGCCCGGTGAGCTCAGATAGGGCGGAACTAAAGCGCTTGGTTTCAGGAGGGAATTATTTTCATTCATTTGTCCATTCTCTGTTTCCTGGAGACGCTTTTAGGCGGGTTTGGTTGAATCATCCCAGTAAATTAGGTCGAAATGAAAAGAAGTATTTCCTGTTTGTCCTGTCAAAATATACTCAACTAAAATACGAAAATAAATTTCTACAAACACCAACAGACTTAATTATTGCGATGAATTATACAGAAGTGGTATGGCAGTGGGAATTACGATTTTAACAAATTTCAAATTTACAACTAAATGGAGTATTTTTAAGTTTGCTTCGTAATCTGTTTCTAAAGGATGTCTCCCTTATGTCTAGCTAATCATTTAGTGTAGCTTAAAACTAAGACTATTTGCCGCTTTCTCATGCTCTCTTACCTCCTTTTTGTTTGTACTATTTATTCTTGAAGCAAATTATGAAAGTTTATGGCCTAACAAACATACCTTACCAAGAATGAAGAGCCAGGCTTAGAAGCTGCAAAGCATAGAAATGTTATATGTGGAAGTTTTTCAGAGACATTTGCCAGTTATTTCTTAAATATGGTAATAAAATGTTTCGTTGAACTTATTTTCTGTCTATTTAGTATGTGTATCATTTTTCTATTCTCCATACTTTAAAGACATCATTTCAATTTTAGTCTCATTCCTTAGACTCTCCCCTTTGTTGGATTTAGTGGACATTCTATTTCTCTTCATTGTCGAACCAGTTTTCCGTTTCATTCTGGGCAATATATTATTGTCTTAAACCCTGGGTCTCCTGGTATTGGCGTAATTACCTGTGCTTTCCCCTTTTCGTTTCTTTGCATGCATCCTCAGCTATCCCACAAACTGCACGGCGACGCTTAGTATTCGTACTTTGAAGGAATCATGAGCCTCGTCGTGCCTACGGTCTTCCTGCTTCGTGCTAGCTTGACCCAATTTGTCAAAATGGCGTTGCTCGTAGCGGGAGGCAGGAGTTAGTTCATATTCTTCTGTCGCATTTACTAATTTATCGAGCGACACACGACACGGTAGCTTCGGCCAGTATGGCAGGCCTAGATCAGAAATCGCCTAATGTCCTTCTACAGAGCCTCTGCTGCAGGATCACGGGGAAAAGCGAAGGTACATCACTTCATGCTAGCTTGTTCCGCGCAAGTGCAACACTTCAGTATACTGGGAACCCCTAAACTAACCATATTCAAAAAATCTTGGTCTTTATCGTTTTAATTCGCTTTACTCTACATATGTGTTTCAAGGACCTTCTAAATACGATGTCTGAAGGTTTGTTGGTGACTGGTTTATTCGGCCAGAGCGTTTCAAATATATAACCCTAAAGTAACGAATAATTTAATATTTGATACATGGGTCACCGGCTGTGCCCTGTGTGTTTTGCCACGAGTGGTTGTAGAAAACGGTTCAGGTTTTTCCAGCAATTGCCGCCGCTAAGCCAGAATTACTTTCGCCGAATTGCAGGGAAGTGTCACGTTTATATATTATTGACTTTATGAGAAAACATATTCAGGATAACATATCAGATTTGTTGTTTAAGAATAAAAATGTACCTATTTTTTGGTAGCAGTCGCTTCAGCTGCATTGGACAAGCAGCACGTCATGGGGCTTGGTCAGCGAGGCGGCTGGAGTTGATGCTGCACATCCCGCCGAACAGCTGTCCATAACGATCCATCGTTACACTAAACTGTAGGCTGGGTTTTCTAAAGGGGTTAGCAGCTCCCTTTAGCCTCCTCCAAGCTTGCTAGCGCCTTAGCGCTCACACCGGTGCTGTAGCTGTTGTGTTCAATGTTTGCTCGGCTACAGGATGCACATCTGTCCTGCTAGCTGGAGGCCCTGATGAGAAACAGTCCGCTCAGAGGAAGGGCTCTTTTTTAAATGAGAAAGGCGTCGACGTGATAATTCTTTTCTCTCTCTTTCGCATACCTGCAGTGTTGGATATATTGACAATCTGTAAAAGAACCACGTAAAATCCCACACATTGCCTGTTCATGATTATCATCATTTTTAAAGCAAGGATACATTGAATTCACACTTGATGAGTTGAATGTTTTATAATATGCATTTGTTGCTTTTTGATCACATAAACAGGGAAAAGGAATTGAGGGTAAATACAATGAGCTAAGCACAAGTATTTATCTTTTCTAGCTTGCTTCAAAGTGCTTTTGTCATGAGTTATTTGTTTTCCAGCTGAAGTTGCCCACCAGTTCCAGTATGCGGTGCGAGTCATTGGCAGTAACTATGCCCCCACTATTGAACGAGATGAGTTCCTGGTGTCTGAGAAGATCAAGAAAGAATGTAAGTGCTGGTTTTGCTTAATATATCCCAAAGACATCGTGCAGGTATTAGACTCAATAAAGATCATGTCATGGCCTTTATTGAGTCTCTTTACCATCAGTCTTACTGGCACACTGAGCAGCCAGTGCTCTTCATGTGGGAGGGTCGATTTTTATGCTGGTGGTAGACAAAAATATCTTTTTTGACACCATAGCAACAAATCCTATTTGATTTATATTGTAGCCAATGTCACACCATATGTGTGGGGAAACAATATTTTTTCTGTAACTTCTACAAACGGGGAGGTCTGACCTCCCAGATTTCCCTACTACTGTTCAGAAAAGGTTTCCTTTTCTCACAGAGCAGGTGTGTTTATCTGTTAAATGAGTTGATTTTGGAGACACCGCTGGCTGATTGATCTTGATGTGCTTGTAGTGCTGAAGCAGCGGAGGGAAGCAGACGCCGCTTTGTTCTCAGAGCTACACAGAAAACTTCAGACTCAGGTTGGTAAAAGCTGGAACATGTATTATTTTCTCCTTTTGACTTTGTAAGCAACATATGAAATGATGAGAATTGGACATAGAAGAAGAGTTGAGGCTTTCGGATGATAGTTAATTTGTTAAAGTGGTTTGTTTTTCTCACACTGTGGTCCTTTGGCTTGTTTTTTGGTGGTTTCCTGTTTGACAGGGTGTTCTGAAGCACCGCTGGTCAGTTCTCTACCTGCTCCTGAGTCTCTCTGAAGACCCCCGTAAACCATCTAGTCGGGTGAGTGGCACTCATCCACATTTTCACAGACTCTCTTTCCATATCTATCCACGTGACTTGTCTCAGTGCCAGGTTGTTATACACTTTGCTAAAATGCCTAATAATTCTGTCATTTTTAGGTTGGAAACTATGGCTCACTGTTTGCCCAAGCTCTACCCAAGGACGCCCACTCCACCCCATTCTACTGGACCAGACCGCAGAGCCTGGCCCTGAGTTATGGGGACAGGAGTGCCGGCTTGTCTGGGAGTGTCGGGACCAGTGGGATTTCCAGTTTAGGAGTCTACACACTGAATGGACCCACACCGACGCCACAGTCACTGCTGGCGGGGTGAGTTTGTTTATGTCTGCCCACCAGTGCACTGATTAAAGGGAAAACTTAGATTTTTCTTTTTGAAATAACAGCATATGTGTGAGGTAACTGACTCCTTACATCTTTGAATCCCTTCGAGCGTGTGAGCGGCTCTCCAAGAAAGAATTTCCTGTGTTTTCTTGACAATAAATCGGTTCTCTAAATAAGGGTTGAGTGAGGTTAGGGTGGATACAACTTATACTTTCACTGTTGCCCATGAAGCCAACGGTGTGTGTGTGTGTGTTTCAGTCAACAACCTGCAGCGGCTGGAGGTGCTCAGCCTCTGGGCTCACGGTTAGCCTGGGCTCTGCCTCTAAGCTCCTCCCCCTCCTCCGCTCCCGTCCCTCCTGCCGCTCGGCCGTCTCTCGGGCCTCCGGTTCCGTCGGTCAGAGTTGTCCGCCCTCGCCGAGACGGCGATACGACCGGTGAGTGTTGTGCACAAAGAGGAAAAAACGAATGCCTTTGTTGGGCACAGGCTCCATGTTCATCAGCATCCATCACTTTAGTTTGTGGTGCGTTTCGGTGAAGACAAAAGATCTGTTAAATACTAAAGGGACCGCGTTAAATACAACACGGATCAGGCTTTTATCTGGGACGGTGACTGATGTTTCTGCCCTCTCCGCCCCTGTGGCTGCAGGCGAGGTGAGCGAGGCCGCGCTGGTGCGGGACGTCCTCTACGTCTTCCAGGGAATTGATGGAAAGTTCATCAAGATGAACGCCCAGGATAACTGCTACAAAATAGACAGCAAGGTACCTAAACCTCTGTCCAAACCTCCAAAGGTTACCCATGGCAACAACACGAGACGATTCACTGAGGGGTCTGGTCAGAAGAGCCGAGCTCTTGGTGGAGTCTAGATGTGGATGAGGAGATTTTTGTTGCTGATTGCTTCTTAACAGATCAATGCAAAGCTCTTTGGCTCTCAGCCACATCAACCCTCTTTTTGTTTAGTCTATTCTGTGTGTTTCTTTTTATTCTCCTCTCATCCTTCTTCGTTATTTTATCAATAGAACGGCGGTAAATGGTGCTTGGTCTTGGCACCGCCAGTCTTTCTAAACATAGACTCACGGTCAATGTGCTGACATTATCCTGATGGAGAAGAAGATAAATCAGTCAAGGATAGATATATTTTTAAGGGTTTTTTGCCACTTAGCATGTCTGTAAAACTCCCCAGATAAAGCTTTTGTGAAACAGATTAATTTTTAATGCGTCATTAAGTGCAACTCCTCCCCAGCTGGACAACCGTTCGGTCGTTCGGAGACTGGGTTTACTTACAGGAGCTGTAAAATGGAAACTGGTCATTTTTCTCTCAGTGAGACTGTGATGGATGAGTCTTTTCATAAGTGCAGTAAAGATTTAATCATCATTATTAAGTCTCTGTGTGTGTGATAGCTGCTCTATGTGATGAAGGAGGTGCCAAATCTCTGTCTTCTACCAAGCTATTTTTCTACTGCTTAATTAATTTAATATGCATGTTTTTTCTGCTTTTTTGCCAGAGATGAACAGTTTTAATATATTGGTGTTGAAAGTCAGAATCGAAAGCTTGACTGTGCTGTTTTGCAAAAAAAGAAAGCCAATAAAGTCACTTCCAAACATAACTGGATGGAGCACTGGCCGTATAAAAGCATATGAATTCATGTCACTACAGAGCCGTCGGTGATCTCCTGCTGATGTGAAGCACTTGATGGATAACAATAACAAATCCTGCATGTTGTGTAGTTTAAAGAATGGCTGTTCTCTGTGCTTTGTGTAGGTGGTGCTATGCAAGTCCCTCCGGGACACCAGCAGCAGACTGGCCGAGCTCGGCTGGCTCCACAACAAAGTTAGGAAGTACACTGACGCCAGGAGCCTGGACCGGGCATTTGGACTGGTCGGACAGGTGCGTCTACATCTGCCATCCACATTGATCATCCCTGTCACCACCCTGGATGCTCATCTCTATATGTCTGTCTCTCCTGTCAGAGCTTCTGCGCCTCCCTGCACCAGGAGCTAAAGGAATACTACAGGCTCCTCTCCGTCCTCCACTCACAGGTAACCAGAGAAACCATTTTGTGGCTTTTAGCATCACCAGCCAGTGAAATCTCAGCTCTTAGTTGAAGTCAAATGACATGATAAAATCAGCCATTTTTCTCTTCCTATATATTGAGACTGTGATGATTTAAAAAAAAAAAGATAAAACAATCAGTTCTGTGCTGATGTTTCTGTTGCTGTTTTGTCTTTCAGTTACAAGTGGAGGATGATCAGGGTGTGACGGTGTGCACGGAGAGCAGTCTGACTCTGAGGCGGCTGCTGGTCTGGATGTACGACCCCAAAGTCAGGCTGAAAACATTGGCCGCCCTCGTTGACTTCTGCCAAGGTGGGTCGGGTGTGTAAGTGGGCCTGCTGCTGCGTTTGGCAGTCCAGAGAACAGGACGCCGTCATCACTGCATATGTGTTTCAGGTCGAAAGGGGGGCGAGCTCGCTTCGGCTGTTCACGCCTATGGAAAAACGGGGGACCCGCAGATGAGGGCGCTGGTTCAGCACATCCTCAGTCTGGTGTCGCACCCAATCCTCAACTTCCTCTACAGGTGGATATACGACGGCGAGTTGGAGGACACCTACCATGAGGTACGCAGACATCTATGACACCTCAGCCACCTGGACCACCCCCTCACCCCAAATGTGGTGTGTCCAAAACGTAATTAGAACTCTGAGTGCAGGCTTCCTTTAGGTCCTTTTAAAAGAAAGTCATTAAGAGTTTACTGCTCATTTCTGGAACATTGTTCTCTCCAGCTGCTCTGATGTTTGACCCCAATGAGAAGGAACATTAGCAAGAGGAGGGAGGAGAGAGCCACAGAAATAAAAGAGAGGAGAGATAGGCCAGCCTTTTAAATGAGGACTGATGAGAGGAGTGTAATGGAGACCAAGGTGATGGATGTGTCTCCTTTACTTTCTCCTGCCCTTTCTCTTTCTCCGTTTCTCTCTCACAGTATTTATGAGCCCAGCGTAGCACTTGCACTGGGTTTAAGTGCTGTGTTTAAGAGTACAAAGACTAGAGTTATTGGACCTTTTTAGGCGTAAAATTACCCAGAAGATCTCATGCACGGAGGCACACACATCCCAAAACACATAAACAGCCATTTAAGATAAAACATGGGACAAAAAAAAAGTATTTTTCTAAAGACCCGGCATTGGTTCATTAAAGCCACAATCATGCAAAAGAGCAAAAGTTTGAACACTCATTGTGTTCGTTTGAAAATCTACGATAAACTAGCTATTAATAGAAAAACTGCCCATGTAAAGAAACAGGGCCACACAATGAAGGATAGATAAAGATTAAAGGTGGTACAACATTTACTAATCTGAGAAACTTTTCCCTGGTGTTCTGAAAACTCAAACATGTTACACAGAAAAGCCGGTCAACCCAAAATTAGAAAAAGGGGTTTTTAAAGTCGCAGCATGATAAAATCCTGCACAAAATCTGTGAAGTCAAGTGATTTATCAGAAAATAAAGTGTCAAATAAAAATGTATGTTTTGTTTCCACCGTTCTGTGTCATGCCAGACATTTAGCACCTCACAAATCCATTATGGTAACTACCATAACATAAATTTAACGGTACTGTAGTTGACACTAAGATGCACATCATTAACGTCACATTATGCTAACTGAGCTCAGTCACAGAAGCACTACGGAGAACTTCTCTTCTCCTTATGATGGTAATATATCATGATGCTAAAACACTCTGTTTCTTTATTTTACGACAACAAACTTGTTTTCTTTCTTTTTAATTTCGAAAATAGAGCACATGAAATGAGTCTGCATGCATGGAATCGATAGCCTTTAGGGGCCCATCAAAAAGCCTGCTGCCTCCTCTGGAGGAAACAGTCCAAGTGAATGTGACAGAGGATGAAAACATCTGTCCATTAAACTATTTAACCACTGTGGGACCTTTTTCAATTTTGTCAAAATGTACATCCAGCAGGCTTGGCCTGATGGTTACACAGCTAAAACAGGAACTTTTCCTTGTGCGCAGTTCTTTGTAGCATCGGATCCCAACGTAAAGACGGATCGCCTGTGGCATGACAAATACTCTCTCAGGAAGTCGATGATCCCCTCCTTCATCACCATGGACCAGGCGCGAAAGGTACGAGCACAAGCTGAGAAGCAGTGAAAGCCCCCACGTGTAGCGATGACAAAGATCCTTCAACAACACATCTCTGTGTCTATCAGGTCCTGCTGATTGGCAAATCCATTAACTTCCTGCATCAGGTCTGTCACGACAGAACGCCACCAGGCAAAATCACACCAGCATCCAAACCCGCAGACTCTCCTAAAGATGGTAACCTCATCACTTTCTCATCCTCTGTTGTTCTTTTCAAACACCGATCTCATTGTCACCTGGTGGTGGGATAAGACCAAGCCGAGTAGCTGGAGTATTTCAAGATGACAAACCCAAACAGATGTTAGATAGATGCTGCAGGGACTATTCTGTTTCGTGCCCACACTGATGACAACATTGACCAATTAGGGGGCTCTTTTGTCTTTCTTCTGGTCGTATTGATGGTTATGTATTGACCTGTGTTCATGGCCTGGCAGCGATCAATGCTCTTACCGCTCACTGGCCTTGTCCTTCTCCCCGGACTGTAGAAACAAAGCGCCATACTTAGTCCTACACTATTGATTCAGTGTGTGGGGCTTCGAATGGCCACTTTGATCAGCAGCTTTTACTGATGGAGCTGAAGGGCGTGACAGGGCATGTAAAGACGGCAGCTTTCCACATGCCATGGTGGGGGATTGGTATGAGCGCAGGAGCTGAAAGCCCTCGTTTCTGCTCTCTCGTAGCCGCAGAGCTGCTGTCGGACCTGGAGGGAGCGTTTCAGGAGAAAATTGACGCGGCCTACTTTGACACCAGCAAATACCTGCTGGACGTTCTCAACCGCAACTACCTGCTGCTGGAGCACCTGCAGGCCATGAGGAGATACCTGCTGCTGGGCCAAGGAGACTTCATCAGGCACCTCATGGACCTGCTAAAGTCAGAGGCTCCCACTGGCTGCACTCACTCGCCACATCCACAAAGCACCACTAGGACAAAAAAATAAAAAATCAGACTGAGTCTGATTGTGTTTTGTTTTTTTCTCTCTCTCTCCATCAGACCCGAGTTGGCTCGTCCTGCTACCACGCTTTACCAACACAACCTGACCGGCATCCTGGAGACGGCGGTCAGGGCCACTAACGCCCAGTATGACAACGCAGAGATCTTAAAGAGGCTGGACGTTCGCCTGCTGGAGGTCCTGCCAACATCTGTGCAGCTGTTCCTTTGAACAACACATTGCTTTTGCTTCCCTCTTCATTTCATTTAGTCCTTTCCTGTCTGCAGGTGTCTCCCGGGGATACAGGCTGGGATGTCTTTAGTCTTGACTACCATGTTGATGGACCCATTGCAACGGTAAAACACACACCTACATTTACTCCTTTGTTTCCTGTTTATTTGTTGTTTTTTTTGTCCATCTAAAGGCATTTTTCTGGCTTTACCCTTCATTGCACCAGGTGTTTACAAGGGAGTGCATGGGCCACTACCTCCGTGTGTTTAATTTCCTGTGGAGGGCCAAGAGGATGGAATACACTCTGACTGACATCTGGAAAGGACAGATGTGTAACGCAAAGCTGCTTAAAACCATGCCTGGTAGGTGCACACAGGCACATATAGATGAAACCAATTTGATTTTACATTCTACATCCATGTAAATGTCTTATCTTTGTATAAGAGGGCTGATAATTCAAATTGATGACCAGACAATACTGTTAAGTAGCATGAATAGTTTTTTTTTCATTCGTCCAAAATATGATTTAAATCATGACCCCTAAAAATCCTGTCCTCTTTCCTACTTCAGTTCAAAGTTTTTCTTAAAGCTGAGTGTGCAGTCATGTTTCCCGTCCTTGTGCTTTCTACCTGCAGAACTGTCTGGCGTGCTGCATCAGTGTCACATACTGGCCTCAGAGATGGTCCACTTCATCCACCAAATGCAGTACTACATCACCTTTGAGGTCAGACCATTAGCAGCGCTGCCGTTATCACGGCCTGTAAAGCACCAGCAAAAAGTAGCAATTACAGAAAGAGGCAGTCCATTTTGTCTGCTGAAAGCAGCCCTGTTCGGATTTATACTGGAGCTGGCTCAGAGATGAGTGGTAGGCGGCGTCAATTCCCAGGTCAAAACTGCAAAAGAGCAGCGGACAAGCAAATGCCTTTTATACCGTCCAGATTAGATATTTATTGTCCTTTTGTTATGTTTTCGTTTTTGTGTTCATTTTGAAGTTTTTTTGATAATATAGTCATGTACAGGCAGGCACCGTTATGGTATCTTATACAACGACAATAACACTCCCAAACCTTCATCTTAAAGAGTCTGCTGCTGTGTGTTACCATGCTTGCAGGTGTTGGAGTGCTCGTGGGATGAGCTGTGGAACAAGGTGCAGCAGGCCCAGGACCTGGACCACATCATCGCTGCCCACGACGTCTTCCTGGACACCATCATCTCCAGATGCCTCCTGGACAATAACAGCAGGGTAACAAACTTTTTATAATATGAATTAACTTGTTTGATTTCCGATTTTCAACACAATCTTCCTTCACCCGTGTTTTTATCATCCGGCCAGTCTCTTCTGAACCAGCTGAGGGCCATATTTGACCAGATCATCGAGTTCCAGAGCGCCCAGGACTCCCTCTACCGCTCAGCACTGGAGGAGCTCACCTTCAGGCTGCAGTACGAGGAGATGAAGCGGCAGAGAGAGGAGGAGGTAAGGAGGAGAAGGTGGCGTGTAAGGCCACAGGCGGTGTGCCACACCACCCCGCCTGAACGAGAGGTCTGCTGATTCAGGGCGAGTGGGGGGTGACCGCTGAGCAGGAAGCAGAGGAGAAGAGGAGAATTAAGGAGTTCCAGGATACTATACCAAAGATGCGCTCCCAGCTTCGAATCCTCACCCACTTCTATCAGGTACCGACGTGAACCGCTTGATGAAGCAGGCGCTGAGCTTCTCCTGCTGAAAACCTACTTCTGTTTTCTCTCCTTGTGCATCGTCTCTCAGAGCATTGTCCAGCAGTTCCTGGTGCTGCTGATGACCAGTCCAGATGAGAGCCTGCGCTTCCTGAGTTTCAGACTGGACTTCAATGAGCACTACAGGTTGGTCTGTCAAAGCTCCAACACGCACCGGCATCCCAAAGCTGGACGGATGTTTCCATTAAACTTGGGTTAAAGATCCAAATGACTCCACAGTCATGAACTGAGAGAACATTTTCAACGACAGACATTTTTTTGCAACAGGCATCATGTTAAGTTAGTCTCAGATCTCATAAGGGAACGCTCTCGGGCAAAAAGATATCAGGTCAAATTGTGGAAACCTGAGTAGGAAAAAAAGAAAGTGCAACATCCCTATCCAGAGAAATTAATGATGAACATCAGCAATATTTGCTCAAATGATCTTCTCTTTTTCTTAACCAACGGACAGAGGAGCCGAAAGCCAGGTGAGGCTGAAGGGCTTGTGGTAAAAAACACGTGTTGAACGTCTTAGATAGAAATTATCAAAAGCTGTCTTGTACAGTTTGGCCCACCTCATAGAGCCAGTTGCATTTTGGGAAAGTAGTATAGCTGTTTGCTTTTCCACATTCACAATGTACGGCTTTTCTAAACGTGCTCAAATCCCTGTTCTGCAGGGCCAGAGAGCCCAGGCTGCGGGCCTCGCTAGGCGCCACCCGGGGGCGACGGCTGTCAAACATCTGAGCTGAGCACAGAGCAGACGGACCAGGCGCAGGGTGGGACCTCACACAGACCAGCCCAACAGCAAACTTTACGCGTCCAGGTGATGTCATGCCTTGGAGGAACGATAGGACAACGCTCCAGCGTCGCCACGTCGACGGTTGCCAAGTGATGACATCACATCAGATGGCTCAAGGGGAGTGGGCTGAGCTGGATCCGCGAAAGAACCGAGTCCCAAACATTTAAAAGCCTTGCAGAAGCGCAGAGGGGTGGAACTAGAGCTGAGAGGTCGGCCCGCAGCGAGAATCCAGCAAAGTGGGAACTAACTTTAGGGGAAAGTGTCCGTGTGAGCGGCAGGAGGCAACACGCCCAGCTCGCTGAGTCACACAGGGCCAACCTACATGGCATGCCTTATTCATGAGAGAAAAACACAGCTTTTTCTTCAGTGTGGGTGCCAAATCTACCATCAACACACCTACTGTTTGTACATAGAGTGTATGTGGACGGACGCGAGAGTTTTTTCACATCAGCACCTCCATCGTTCACTCGGGTTAGATCGATAAATGTGTGTTTCTTTTCAATTTTGTACTCGTAGAACTTATTAAAATGATTAGTTGTAATAATTTTTGCTACCATCATTCAACAAGTGAGTTTCTAAGCTGGAGTTTGTCATTAAGTTAAGTTGAGAGAAAACGCACATACATCAGAACTGTGATTCACCTGCCGTCAGTGTTAGTGGATCAGTCTGTCGGTCTAACCCTGGTCCTCCTTAAAATTCAGGGTTCTTGTGTTTTTTATTTAGTTTGAAAGGTCAGCTCGATCACAATCACACACACATCACACAGGTCTGTGTGAAGCATCAGGATAGAACTACTCACACAGGCAAAAAGCAGGCTTCATTTACACCAGACATATAATATTTCTTTCATTTTCATTCATCCTTTTGCAACCGTAGGCCTTCAAAATGAAATCCGACTTCACACAAACAAGACGACTCTGTTAGGAATGTCGTTCAGGGTCAACCCAACCTATTTCTCAGTTTCCCCAATTAGTTTGCAGCAGGCTTTTCTGTCTGTCATTTTAGAGAAAACGGTCCTCACAACCACAACAACCTCACTCGTCTCTGCATAAACCACAGGAACTATGAATACTCAGATGTTTCTCCAAAAGGAAAAAAAAATGTAAATATTTCTACATGAAAGTCCACATGTAAATGATTATTTGTCAGAAATGTTTACCTGGACTTTTTATTTTCTATATGAAGTGAGCCTATTTAGAAGTTCTAAAGTGTAGATGGTGTATTTAAGTGAGGTTTACATGCTGGCGGGATACTGTATTTAAAGGCTGTATTTGGCAACATTTCAGAATGGAAATATAACATTTAGTGATTTAAAAGTCTAAAGTAAACTTTCCTCCCTGTTCTGCTCCACTTAGGTCACTAGAACAGCTGTCGCGTTGAAGCCGACATGATGGCTGCAGATACACATCAAAACAGCAAAAGCATCCATTACGTTCTTGAAGTTGTGCCCAAATTTGAGCACTGAAGTGAAAGTTTTCCATCATTAGACGATCAGCAGTGTTAACTGCTTGAGTTGCCTCATCCCTTCAAAGTGAAATTCCTTTTTAATCGCTCACATGAGAAGACTGATGTTTGTGAGGCTAGAAGCCTCATTATGATAATCAGACCCGTCTCGAATGTTAATCTCACCTTGCAGGAGTCCCAGTACAACAGGGATGTTAAAACTATTAAGAGAAATTGTATTAACTTCCTCTTATTTTCAGTAGTTGATAAAATGGTATTAGAAACGCAGGCTTAAAGAATGGATGATAAATTGGTAACTGTTTTAGCGTCAGCTGATCAACAGCCGTCCTCCAACATGGACTCCGGCTAAAGCTTATTCTCATAGATGTGTCTGCTGTGATGTTCCAGGTTTGAATCTTCACTTGCATTTTCATTGTCAGTGAGACAATTGGTGCTGTGTTTGGTCTGTAGGCCACTTAACTCCCTTCTGACAATGAATTTCGTCTCCAAAGTGTAGAGAAATCGACATGCGATCACTTTAACATGGACCTGAACCTGGGTCAGCACACCGCCCGTTTCCATCTCTATTGTACCACATAATATATATATATGAAAGGTGGGGATGCCAACCATCCCAGTTCTTTAATAAAATGTTTGTTTTGTATGAATCTGTGTTTTTGTTTGACTCTCTGTTCTATCCTGATTTCGGGGTTTCTCTGCTTGCTCTTTCTTCCACCCCGTTGCAGTTTCCAGAAGTTCAAGTTTTTTCTATGAACATTACCAGCTTGGACCAGACAGACACATTTTACTAACAACCCAGACTTGTGCTCTGATGTGAAGTTTGCCATTAGTTCTAAGCTGGTTTCACCTGGAGTCCTTGAGCAGTTTCTGAAAAGATGTTAATATTATTCTTGCATTAAAAAAGGAGTCAAAAGAAACGGACTGCCTGAAAACCGGCTCACTTTGTACTGCAGTCTAAACTATCCAAAAGAGCCTCTAGAGGGAGCTACAGCTTCTCTTTTCCAGCTTCCTTAGGCCTTCTCTCTCATCCTGACTTTTGATGCCTTGGTTTGTTGTTCTGTCTGAAAACATCACAGCTGAGTCACCTAAAGAAGTGTGTGCTCACAGAGACAAACTTTACTGCTCGCATGTCCTCTTCCTTACTGCAACGTTTCATATATATTTTCATTTCTCTGTTGAAAACTGATTCTTTCATCAGGTGGCTGACAGTCTTTGGATTCTTTGCCGTTACTTGGGTGAAAACATGTGATTACCACGGCGCTATGTCTTCAGCACCGTACAAAGGAACCTGTCATCTGTCTGGATGATAACACTTTCAGAAAAATTGTCTATGCAGGAGGCCCGACTGGGCCTTACCGGCTTGAATCTTCACTTTTTCTCCTCCCTCTCTGTCCTTCATATCTTTGTCTGAATAGGATGTATCTACCAGTATGGAGGGGTTTGTCAGTGAAGTGGTCGACGTTGAAATGGGATCTGATATCTCAGGACATTTCTTCCAGCCTTCCCAAAGCCTCTGGGGTTTTTCTCACAGACAAAAATGGACTTCCACTGCTGACCTTTTTATCGACCGGGACCTCCTGACAAACTGACCTGGTATCAGTTCAATTCTTCCACAACAGTAGTTTTACAGTATGTCCGTACACTCCTGGTTCCCCAGCCTCGGCTGAGTGCTCCTTTGATAATAATCATTCGAAATAAGTTTTATTATATTCAAACGATGCTATTTTTTCCACAATGCACATACTGTTGTTGTAATACATCTGAACAAAGTTAACTATCCATGTTTCTAAAGCCCTGCCACATGCAAAGCCAAACTAAAAAGACACTGTATCGGCTCGTCTCATTTTCAGACACATGGCTGATGTTAGAATCTGACAGTGAAATTTGAAACCAAATAACCGAATAAATGACAGCACAGTGAGCCAATATTTAATCTGAACTGATCTTTTTGTGGAGCTCCCAAATAGTTCTGACTTAGAATTCTTCTGACAAAGAGGAGAAAACAGCTTCACCTAATTGCAACACATAAAAATAAATGTTTGGATCAATTTTTCCAGCACAGCAACCATCATCTAACCCTGCTTGACTCAGTGAATAAAAGGGAACAGACCAACTGCAATTTAGTCACATCCCTTTCTGATTTAGCCTTACTGAAAATTCATGAATGCAAGGTGAAAAATCGTCTGTCAGCCTGTTTAAACACACTGAAAGCCGAGCTGGTTCAGCTCCCTGTGACTGACTCAAGGCTCCAGACTTCCACCATTCGACCTTCCAACTGTGTTTTTAGGGGAAATGTAGAAAAACAGAGTGTGTCTGTGTGTGTCGTCAGGCCGTGAGCGGACAGTTGACATTTACTGGCATTTCTGGCAGCAGGTGTATTTGAGAGAATCTTATCAAAAGATAAATTCTCGTCTCTCCTTTTCATCCCCTTCGTCTGTGGCGGCTGCCAGCTGGACTCGTGGGTGTCAGTTTGAGGTAAACAGAACTACCCCCATGCAGAAAGCGCAGACACAACCAGCGCACCAGCTGCAGTGTTCCAGCTCTCCCTTTCACAGGCCACATTTCCAAATAGGTTCCTCGTATCTGAGACCTCCACCTTCCACGTTCACAGTTTGGTTTAACAAGAGTCTTGAGGACAGAAGGCGGAATTAATTGGCCATTTGCATTTGTGGGATTTTAATTAGGCTGATTGGAGCAGAGTTGTCGGATGGTTCTGCCCAGACACAGAAAAAGGTGTGAAATGTACTCTCAGCCGTGGATGCAGTGATTTTCTGAAACATTCATCTTTCAAGCAGGTTCAGGAGGTAACAGTTCTTCTGATTATGGCTGTTTATTTATGAGAACGAACAAACTCAAAATAGCTTTGCTTCATTTGGTTATGATGCCAAGATACATGTTTTAAGTTAAACCAAAGTGTCCCAAACAGAGAGCAGGGACTCATTAAAAGACCTGTCTGCAACCTAGACCTTCTGCTGACAGAAAACCCCTAAATCTCAGCAAGGACTCAGGACGGCAGAGCAGCAAAAACACGTTCTTCTCTCTGAGCTTCAACAACTGAACTGCCCTGATGTTTACAGACTGTTGTTAAAAGAAAAACCTCAAACTTAGCGATAAGCCTAGTCATATTCCTACTCTGTAGATATCTTGCTGCCATCAAATTCAGACTAACATTTTTTTAATTGTGAAGTTTTTCACTTTAATGATCTGTTTTGATATTGCCTAGTGGTTTTGAACACCCAAATTTCTTTAAAGGATTAAAATTTAACAACTTGACTGAGTATGAAGCTTTTCTTTTAATTCTCATTCTGAAATTGCATCTTAAACAGAACATTTTCTCTCAGTTCTTTCAAAGTAACAACTAATTACTGACAGCATATTATGAACACATGAGGGAATCATAACGTCTCAAGTCTTTTAGAAAAGATTAAGATAAAGCATTTAGGGGATACGTTTTACTCAACTGCTTCTGCTTTAAGATTAAAGCAGTTGAGTAAAACAAGATAGAAACAAGAGATGGTGGCTTGATAAATCTTAAAAACAGGAGGGGAGGTTTAAGCCTTTCAGAAAAAGTGTCACCAGCACATATAAGACAAGGTTTGTGGCTTCCACATCTCCCTCCTCAGGCAGATGAGCTTACTTCAGACCAGCTCGGTGTTGCAACAGGGTTACAGTCTTTCCTCTCTCACCTCTGTGCTGACTCCGCCACACTATTTAACAGCTTTGCTATGAATTTCTCCATTTTAAATTATAAGCAAGCATCACATTCATACATTAGTCTCAACCTCTCAACTGTCATAGGTGCCAGAATTGTGTTAATTCAAAGGCCAGCAAATATGGCTGGAAAAACAGGTACACAAGACAGAAAAGATCTCTTTTCTTTTAATATTAAAACCACAATATATTCTGCCATCGTACTGTAAAAACCTTATCCTCACATTGTAATTAAAGTGGTCGTTGGATGGACAGACATGCCTGAAGTAGAAGGCGTGATATTCAGCATGGGGTATGAACAACATGCCAACACTTTTGAATGATTTTCAGTTATGAAAAATGGTCCACAAGACATCAGGGTAGCTCATCAGCATGCTGCAGAGAGACATGACAGTGCAGTCTGGGCTTAAAGCTGTCAAGCTTCACAGCCAAAATGTACAGTAAGCTCAGTTTTACACTTCCATGGAGGAACCCTGACAATCTGGTTTCTTTAAACAGCTGAAGCGACCGATATTTCAGGTTGTTCTTTTGCCATAGTTAAATGTTCACATATCTGAGTTATGGGGACATATTGCATGCATGAATCACATTTTTCAGTGTTGCCATCCCATTATGCACGGGGAGGAATCCCGTTCAAACTTATTTGCAGACGGGCACACATGGAATGGAAAAATGTACTTAACTTACCAAAGTATGGAGAAACATGGAGTCGAAAGGCTTGAGAGGGAGGCGTGGTGGATGTTTCATAGATTAACCCGAAAGTCATCCAAATATGTTGATGTGGATCCTTCTCTATACGTGGCCTGTAGTCAGTGGGGAAGGACACGCTGAAGTAGACAGACCAGGGTCTCACTCAGGGACTGCATATGAATGGAAATGACAGTCAAAATCTCAGGTACAAAAACACATGATTTTTACCAGGTATGGTAGTAGGTGTCGGTTTACGCTGATGTCCTGCATGGCACAAAGAGGGTCAGTTCATCTGACTGAGGAACACTTTTAAATATCATCCTTTGACTGAAATTCAGGATGTTCACTGAACAATGACGTCTTCAGGCCTCAACTGTCTTGTCTTTCACTCAAAAATCCTTTAAAGTACTTAAAATGCGAAAGGCAAAAAAAATGTCAAATATATCTGTTATTTCTGTTCGATTCAAAGAATGATATAGTTAGCAGTTTTTAGTGCGTTCTAATTTGTGGAGCCATTTGGCATGTAGACTCAATGCATGTCATCCTCACTACCTCAGATTTGTACTTTCATCCAACAGGGGGAGCATCTGTGACATTCCCACTCAAGTATGCCTGTGGTTTTGAGTGTGTGTACATGTGGTAATGACTTGATGCAGTGGACTAATCATTTTCTGAACTCAATGGGTGTACCACCCTCCAAAAGGTCATGAATTATGCCGTGAGGTAGAGTGGGGTCAGTGATGGAAGGAGATCATTTGTCTCATGAGTCTGATTCTGTACAGGAGTCAGTCATGTGTGTCAGTGCAACATCCTCTGCTCCCTCTGATACAGTTCAGAGGTAATTACTCATACCTGAAAAACAGCGGCTATCCATTCAAATACAAATCGTATAAAACGGCTGAGATTTACTGCTGAACCCACAGAAGACCGGGACAAACAAACAGGCGGCATGCCATCAAACTGGTGTCCTTTCACACAATGAGAGTCAGGCACAAAAGCTTCAGATAATTACTCAACTACGATGGTCAAGTGGATTCATGAACACGTTAGAGAACGAGAGAGAAAGAATAGTTAATTGGAACTCTGGCATTCATTGTCATGCACAAGACTTCCATTGTCAGTCATGAGGCCTGACGGGAGAAGCTGTCGGCAGACTGGAAGTGCCACCATCTCATCTTCTGACAGACAGCAAAGGCAACAGGAGACTCACACAGAGGGGTGTTGTTTGAAATGGGTAGATTTTCAT